TCACTTGCTGCTTGAGCGCCCTGTGCTTTACGCCACCTCCGCGTGAGCGTTGGTGGGGTCCAGGCGCCTGCCGCTGGCACAGGAACGTGTGCCGGGTCTTGTCAGAGGGAGGCCGGGGCTGCGGGGAGCCAGGTGGGGACAGACCTACGCCGTGGGGACAGCACGTCAGCCTGAGAGGAAGCAAGAGGTACTCGTCCTCCTCTCGCCAGCCCATCAGCTACCCCCATTCATTACTGCTCTCTGTGACAACCTGACAGGAGGTCGTAGCGAGGTGGGTGTCGGTCTCTTCTCCCGAGTAACAAGCGACAGAAAGAGAGGAGATGGCCTCGGGTTGCACCAGGGGAGGTTTAGATTGGATATCGGGGAAAAATTTCTTCGCTGGAAGGGTTGTCAAGCGCTGGAACAGGCTGCCCAGGGAAGTGGTTGAGTCACCATCCCTGGAGGTATTTAAAAGACGTGTAGACGTGGTGATTAGGGACGTGGTTTAAGGGTGGACTTGGCAGTGATAGGTTAACGGTTGGACGTGATGATCTTACGGGTCTTATCCAACCTAAATGATTTTATGATTCTATGTTTCCTACAGCACGAGAAAAGGAGTGCCCTTCTCCTCCCTTTTTTGCAGCTCGTTCCTGTAACCCAGTCCTTTACCAGGCAAGAGCGCTCAGGAGGCATATGGTGATTGCTGGCAAAACCCAGGTTGTTTGAGGGCATTTTTGCTCAAGATCATCGACGTTGTTCGGGATGCTGTCATTTGCTAGCAGTCTTGGGAAATGAAGGGGACTACCCAGCTGGGGACTCTTTAAAGGACCATCTCAGTTGCACCTCATTCCTTTCAAGATTTTTGTTTCATGGCACCAGGCCTAGGAATGGGTTGGTCAATGGAAGCTGTTTCTGCTGCAGACAACAAATGTGGGGCCTGCAGAGCAGTGGAAAAATGGTTTGCATTTGGCTGGAGGCAAAAAAAATTACCTGGGCAGGTGGAGAAAGGCTTCAGTAGGTAAGGAACCAGCATGGTGGTTGCAAGGGGCTTCAAAGGGAAGGGCTGGCTATTGCTGGCTCAGTAATAAACAAAGGGAGATTCGTTCCTAGGCTCAATCCTGCAGCAATGAAGGAGAGAGGAGCGAATGCAGCTTTTCCGTCTCCATAATGCCGGTGGGAGCGGCTGCTTTCCAAATGCCAGCGGTGTAAAATGTTGAGAAGTTGCTGGCTGCGAAGGGCATTTAAGAGAAGGTTTAGTGCGCGCTCAGTTTAGGGGCTACGTAAGAACACTGGCTAAACATTTCAGGCTTCTTGCCGCATCTGTATTCAGAGCACTGGTGTTGTTCACGCTCAGCGCTGACGTTGTCACCAAGAGCAACAGCATCGGGTCCTTGCTGCGCAGCTGCAATGAGCTCACTGCGATTTGCACTGCAGGTAGCGCCGCCCGCTTCCAGCCCCTGCCCCGAGGAAGAGGATGAACATCCCCACGCCCAGCACTGACCGAGGAGCTCCCGGCTGGGCAAGGAGGGCAGGTCACCCTGAGAGCTCCCCACTGGGGGAACTGGGTGTGATAAATCTCACGACGGCTGGGCACGGGCTGGGCTGTGCAACAGGTCCAACCGGCCGTGGAATAGCGTCCAGCCGCCGTGGCGAGTGTTTGCAGGTCCCGTCACAGCTCTCAGGTGTTTTGGGGACAGCGTGCTGAGCCAGGCTGGCCGGGGAGGGCCCCGAGTAATGAGGGGATACAGGTGAGCAGCCCGGGAAGGGACCGGGACCGGGACCGGGACATCCTTTCTGAGGGCTGCGGGGAGGAGCGGGCTTTGGCACGTGGGAGCAGGCCAGGAGAAGCGGCGTGGACTCCAGCCACGGGAGGTGGAGGAAGAGGTGCGTGGGGTTGGCCGGCGTGTGGGAGAAGAGGAAGAACGAGAGGGAGCGAAGGGTAAGATCGGAGCAGGGAGCCAGAGCTGCCGCTCCCTCCGGGGTTTCGGCGTGCGGCCTTCCCGCCGGGATTGTCCCCCTCACACAAACCGCGCCTGCAGGGCTGCCCTCCCGGCCAGGCCCGCTCCCGGCAGCGGCTGCGGGGAGCGGTGGGGGCCTCGGCCCGGACTGGTTCCAGGCAAATTGAATTCACTAGTCTAGGTGTGCACATTCTGTCTCGGGGAGTTGGCAGTTTTGGCAAATGCTCCGAACAATTCCTGCCTCTCCGGTGGGGGGGGTGGAGGGCAGGCCTGCTCCAGGCCCAGGCCCGACTCTGGAGGGCACCGAGGTGAGGAAGCCGGTGGCTGACGAGAAGATACTGACCCGCCAGTCAGAAAACCACCCCCAAAAAAGCAGCAGGAATGGGATTTTGGTGGAAGCAGGGAGACAGGGCCAGGAGGAGGTGAAGTGAGTGCAATTGGGTCTCGTTATAAAGCCTTCGGCGCGTGAGGAGCACGCGTGTCGGGCTATCCCCACCCCCCGCCAGAGTTGCGCGAGGACCGCATGGAGCCCGGCAGAACAGCGGGCAGACCCTGCGCGCTAGCGGGACGGGGAGCAGAGAAAACAGCAGTGCTCCGAAAGCGGCAGGAGCTCTTCTCTTTTACCTGATCCACAGCCTGGTCTGCAGCAGCAGCTTCTGTGATGGTCACGTTGCTTTTGGGGGAGGCAGGAGAGCCGGGCGAGCGTGGGTTTGTTGTGCTTTCATGTTGACAAAAAGGTAGGTAGAGCGTCCGGCAAAAAAAAAAGGTGAGTTGGCTTCCAACTGCCCCACCAAAAGGCCTTGTGGCTGGTGGGAACCGTAGTTACCGCGGTAGGATTTCCTCCTTCCACAGGGCAAGAGCCATCCTGGCAGGAAAGACCCGAGACAATTTGCGTTCGTTCATTTACAGCCGAGACCAATTCTTCTCCATTCTCGCAGCGCGGTGACCCCCGAGGCCCGTTTGGCTCAGCCCGTCTCCCCCACCTGCCGGGCCGCAGGAGCCGGCACAGCGGCACGGCCGGGCTCCCTCCCAGCCGGCAGCTGGTGAAAGAAAAGAAGGACAAGCAGAATTTCCCCAGTGCTCCCACTGTATTGCTGCAGCCCTGGAGGCATCTGCTGTGTTTGTTTCGGGTACGGGCTCCTCCCCAGGGTTGTCTGGCTCCCGCTAGGACAGCAGGAATGGTGCATTCTTGTGCTGTTGATTTATGATGCCAATCCCCTCTCGCTGCGCTCGTTTTCTTTCTCAAAGCGCATTCTGCAAAGCTCGAAAAAAAAAAAAAACAAAAAACAAAACAAACCCACACATGACAACCGAAAGCAGTTTCTAGAGCAGAGTTTCCTGCAGGAATCCTGCCATGGCCTTCAGTTTACATGCTAGGCAATGTCATGTGGAAAAGATGGCTTTGCCCTGACGGTGTCCCTTAAATCATCACAGAAGCCAAGACGTTTATAGCTCAGCCTGCGCATAGCATCTGGAGTCCCCTGCCCCCTCGTTGTCGGGCTGAGGGCTGCGTCCCTGCAGAAGAGCAGGGCGCTGCAGCCTACTTCCCACACCTGTTGGAATATTTATTTTGTTTTAAAACCACATCAAATTGTACAACGAGCCACATGGAGAATGTTTATTTCGGCACACCATCTCAGAAATACAGTAAATGCCTCAATGGTTTGGTCTTCCTGTCCTACTGTCCTGCTGTATCAAGTTTTCCATGTCTCTCATTACATTGGATCTTGTGATTCATGTTATCCCCCCTCTTTCAACCAGGCTAAATTTGTCCAAGGTAGCCTGAGGCAACGGAGACGATCCCTGCACAGCTTCTCCTCCCACACTGTGGCGAGTGTTCCTTTCTGTATTTTTGCATTTGCTACCTTCCCTTTTACTGACTAGCTATGTACGCGATGAGAATGTTCCCAAATCCCCCAAACCCTAATGGGATCATGCTCACAGAGTCCTAACCAAAACTCATCGCCCGCCTCTAACTCCTGCCAGGTTTTGCAGTACTCACAGAGCCCGCCCGGCCTCTCACCGCTCACCTCGCACCCCTGGTTTGGTGACCTGGAGACCACCAGTGGCTCCCTTGTGCGGCTCAGTTGCCTCTCTCCAGTTCTTATTTACAGCCCAGGGGAATATGGGGGTATTCAGAATTTTTTTCTACTCTCTCTCCCTCCTCCTTGCCCCTCGCCCCCCCCTTCACCCCCCCAGCCCAACCCACAAACCAGAAACCTGACGCAACATTCTTCCACGAATGCACTAATAAGCCTGAATTTTTGACCGGCCGCTGGTTTGTGTTTTGGAGGAGCGGTGCTGTGTTCAGGATTAGTTAGCTGGAGCATACCTGAGGCTCTACACACCCAGCACGAAGAACGGGCTGTCAGTTACAGAGAAATGGTGGACGCACGCAGAGATCAGCCCGCTTTCACGTTAGCGCTGAGAGCTAATACTCCTATTTGTTGCAGAAGCCGCAGCCATCAATGAGTAAGCGTTTTGGGTGCAGTGTTGTGGCTGTGCCTGCTCCTCCAAAAGCTGGAGCGTTTGATGTTGGTATCGGTGCAAACGTGCCTTTCAGATGTCAAACCCGCCGACCTCAGGAATTTTGACAGGTGAGTGCTGGAGAGCTGAGCGAGCCCCTGGCAGCTCTCTGATCAGATGTACTGCGCCTGTCTGCCGCCTGCTGATTCCTGACACCCTGAGCTGGAGCACCCCCGTGCTTGCAAACAAGGCAAAGCCAACATCCTGCCTGCGTAGTCCCCTGGAGCCGGAGAGCTAGAGTGACTAACGCTGTTCTAAGAAAAACAGGAGTCTTTCCAGAATCCTCCTCCTTTGGGATGGTAAAAAGCAAGAAGAGGTCAGCCCAGAGCGTAACATTGCTGGAAACGCCATAAGCGCGGGCTAATGGGTTCTTTGCACAAGCTCCATCGGCCCCTGCCATGTCATTCTGCTATCACCCACCCTTAGCAATTAGTGCCAGACACTGCCTGGATGGCAGCAACCACTCTGCTGAGGTCAAGGGCACCTTTTCTTTACGCAAGGACTAATTATGTGAAAAGATGATGCAAGGTCTGACGGTTTTCAGTCAACTTCAACGCTTTATTAACAGCAGTGCCACTGTAGGAAGGCACTCCACTTTGCTTTACGAAGGAAATCAGTGGGATGTGCATGAGAAAAGACTCCGTGTACGGTCTCAACTCAAAATTTGCCACTGCTGGAATATTTTTTTCAATTAATGTCATTAATGCAAGGAAACACCATCTAAAGTCCAGGTGCAGATCTTTATTGGCCTGTGCCAGGAAAATGAACAAGGAATGCTAACACTTCTTTCTCACTCACGCTTCTTTTAATAAGCAGAAGAGGAAAATTAGCTAATGAGGTTCAAAGCTGGTTGGGGAGGAGGTGGAAGGCGCTGGATGGGGGCTGCCACACCAAAATGCACACAGAGTGGTTCCGGGAAAACAACACTGCTGGCAGGCAGGAGGGACAGCCCAAGAGACAGTGAGCATTTTCCACGCTGGGGGCCCTGAAAGAAGTAAATGTAATGTGCTTCCCTCTCCTTCACCACTCTCTGAGCTGAAATCACAGAGGGGAAGGGAAACTCGGAAACTCACCTGGCTCATCTTCTGTCTCTAGGAGGCTGTGGGATCCTTGTCTGATCCGTCAGAAGGCTTCACTGCTGTCTCTCCTGGGCTTCCTTTGCACAGAAGTTCAGATCGTTCGTGTGCAGCTGGGGCAGAGCAAATGCTGTCAGCTGCCCCACTCACAGCGGCGCTGGCTGTCCCAGCGGGAGGGTCTCCCTCCATCCTGCTGGCAGATGGCTCCCGATGTAGTGCCAGATCAGCCATTACCCTCTCTGTGCCTCTGTGGATGATCTGATGAGCAGCAGAGATGTGTTTTCTTTGGGACTGCCTCACTGTGCATAAAAAGAGGTAAGGCTTTTACTTGGAAACGTCCAGCAAAGCGTTCTCCGTAAGGGGGAAGGGAGGGGTAGCTGTTAGCCTTCCTGCAGCTGTGGAAAAGCCTATCTCAGGAAAAAAGAAAAAAAAAAATCACGCCCTTCTAACTTTGGCTGAAAGCGTTCTACTGCCACCTAATAGCAGCAACCAACTTTGCATTTCACTTTGAAGACTAGCCCCCACAGTGGGAAGCACAGCCAAAGCGTTTTCCTTTCCAGTTTAGGGCATAACTGCCCAGGATATGTCATCGGGCTTTAAAACAACTTCTCCTTCAGCGGCTGTTGATTGCAGCAGGCCTCTGGAAGACAGGAGCTGAAATCTGCCCTCTCCCGTGCTGTGATTTTGCCTGCCCTGAGAAACTCTCGCCGAGTTCAAAGTAAGACTTGGACACAGCAGCGACACATTAAGTCACCTAGCATACCGTCTCCCTTTTGCTACTGCAGGTTTGTTCTTTACCGTGTTTTACAGTTTTCAGCCAACCTCATCTGTATATATTTCCAGCCCACCTCTTAGGGAGCAATTGCCCAAGCATTCACCCTACAATTCTCTTTATTGCTCTTTGCTATTCTTTGTTCCCTCGTTCTCTCTCTAGACCTAAGATGCTGGCAAACAATCACGGGGATTGAAATACTGCAGGCTTGTAGAGAGGGTGCGGGCAGTACTGCAGGAATGAGCTGCGGCTCTCATCGTGTCACTTCCCTGCAAAAGTCCAAGACTTCCTTGTCGCTTTGCTCCGTGGACGTTGTAAGGCTGAGCTGTACTTTTACTGTGACTCTCACCCACCGGTGTCTCGCATGCTGTCACACAGTTCTGCAAACAGGGACTGACTTAATTGCCCAGCGTTACTAACTCATCCTATTTACGTTTAGCCATCTCCCAGCTCCATTTTCTCGACAGTGAATGCAACTAGATCTCACTTGCATTTGAAAAGCTGACCTTCACCAGCCAGCTCTCAATTCCCGGGAGAGCTTTCTCCACCCAAGGCATTTTGGCTCCAATTGTGTATGCATGAACTGCGTCAGCTGTACTGGGAATACTCTCCGGGTATTGCTGCAGTCCCTGCCTCCATCCACAGTGAATTCCATCTAAAAGAAAGCAGGCTCAAATTGGTGAGTGATTGTCCTTTTAAAAGCAAGGTTTTTCGTATCAGCACATTGACTTCTCCTTCCAGTGAGGGAAGGTTCAGAAGTGAAGTGCGGAGGGGTTTCAGGATGAGCTGGTATTGGGTAGTCCCTGCTTTTATGCATAGGATTGCGACAAGAAGAGGAGAAAGAAAACAAGAAAGGACTAGGTAATGGCAAAACAAAGGTGTTTTAGGGGAAGCTAAAGCGTAGGCAAAGACTGAACCTGCAGGCCCACGAATCTTTGCTCTACAAATGGATTTGGTCCTCTGGCAGGCCAGACAGCTGTGCTCTCAGATCACCTCCTGCTAGTTTCAAGGCAGGTGTATGCTAAAGCACGTGCCAGGTTGCTAAAACACATTTTCATACTGGATAATCTGGCTCACTAGGGGGAAAGCTTTAAAAGCTGCCACAGAAATGCAATACACTGATGTGCTCATGAGATCTAATGCCGTTGTTTTCTTTGATACTCTTTCCCTTGGATTTACAGGGAATAGTTACTGATTACGCTTCCCTGAAGGCATCACTGTGCAGGAGGTTTACGGCAGGGTGTGTTCATCAGAGCATACGTTTGGTAGAATTCAGCTATCTCTTAAGTGTAGGGAGTCCCCATCACCCCATGCAGCAATAGCAGAAGAGAGGATGAGCCAGGTCTCCTCCTAACATTTGATGTCTGCTGTCACAAGAATAGCGTGGCAGATTTCCCCTGCTCACGTTTGAAGGAGCTCTTGTACTTTGTCACTTATTGCTCTAGCTCTTCCACCAGCATCCACTTTAATTTCTGCCTGGGTCTAGCTCTGCTTTCCAGGCAAACTCATTGTAATTACCACAGATTTTGAATACTTTTTTTCCTCTGTTGCTTGGGAGTGCCTCTGAGGTGCTTTGTTCGCTAGCTGCTGTTGTATTTAAGCCCAGTACACATTTTCTTCCTTGATGGTGCCTCTATATGTCCAGAATCCTAATCCATCTCCAGGTCTTCTCTTTCTGTTCTCCTTTCTGAGAAAAGCTAACCTGTGCATGTTAGTGCCTGAACTGCAGGCTTCATTGACTAAAATTACATCACCTGCTTCGATAGGCTCACAGAAGCAGGACTAAGGAGAAGGGAGCTGACTTAAGCTTATGGAGAATTACCAGCTGCTGAACAGGTACCGTTGTTGTGACAAATACACATACTAGGAAGAAAAAAAGTTTGCACAATTTAGAGACCACAAAATCTGTTTGCATGGTTTGTGTTTTCAGTCACAATCAACAAAAAAAGCAATGTATGTAAATGCCTTTGTTCTCAAGTCAGAGAAGTACACTGCAGCAAGGACCACTTCAGACTCTGTTGTGAGACAGCTGCTTTTCTTAGGCTGCATCCACTTTCTGTGGGTGACTGGTTTAGTCACAGTCTCCTCAGTGTGCTGGTCAGTGGAAACATCGCAGTTAACAGCCATTTAATCTCGATGCTTCACGTAGTGCACAGGTTTCCTGGGCCTTCCCGTCTGGAGTTGGACAGACACTATCCCATTTTGGCTAAACAGAAGCATCCTCTACTGCTGCAAGATTATCTATTTAAGATACGATGTCACTGCAGCCAACCCTAAAACCTTACCCTTGCTTCTAGCTCTCAACCAATTGAGGCAGGAGGGGGAAAGCATAGGAAAGCATATAATCTTCCTTCCACATATGAGCTATATTTAAATAATCTGCCTGTTAAAGACTTCTACAGTTATTAGAAATTGCCATATAATAGACAATTCACAGCCATGCTACTTAAAGACTTCTCCCAGTTTGTTTTTGAAGGTGCAATGGGCTGCTTCTTTTCATGTAGTTTTATTGTTGCAGATACACCAAATGTACATCAGGTCTGAATTCAGGTTGCCATTTTAACAGACTAAAACTCATGAGAAATTGTTGAAAAAAGGTCAGAGGGCTTAACTTTCTACCTGCAGAGGGCAAAAGAGGAGTCTCGGAGAACTGAGGCAACTCCTGGCACTGAACCTTTCAGTGAGCTAGAGTGAGGAGGGTGAACCAGTTCATGAAGAGAACAAAGTTACTGGGCTCCTTACCTTTGTCTCTGATAGACATTTTCTCAGCTTCTGGAATCAGGAAATCATAAACCAGCTCTGCTACAATCTCTTCTGACTGTAGGCGAGTTCGACTACACAACAGAGGCAGAGTGGTATTAGTATTTTAATTTCTTTCCAGATCACCTTTGTAAACACAAACCTCCCTTGTAAACGTTTTATTTTCAAGGGAGTGTATTGTCATGGCAGTAATTATCAGCTGAGCCTCTCTTCATCCTACAAACAGGTGACAGTGTGACTGTTCCCCTTTGCACTGCACTGCCAGTGTGTTCAAAACTGCATTGGAAAGCAGTATTTCCAGGGAGAAGCTCACCCTAGACTCCTTATCCTCGAAGGTATTTAGGAGTCCAGTTCTCAGCGATGACAAACCGGGTTAGACATGCAGATACCGCTCAGGATTTGCGTCTCTGTCAGTTTAGTCTTTGGCCCATTGCTGAGTTTGCTAAATTCTTCCCTTTTGTGACTCTGCATTTGGCTGGTCCCCCTGCTCTTTTCCATGCCAATGTATGGTGGGTTCCCAATTGGCCCAGGGGCTGCATGCATTATCTACGCTTCATTCTCCCCAAGGATTTCAACGTTCTGGTTGTATTCATCCAGTTACAAAATACACAGCTGCTGTACCATAGGAGAGTCACTGTGTCATTGGGAATTTTATGGCTCGATTCCAAAAAAAGAGCATAGAAACTGAACTGGAGGTTTGGCAGGTCCTAAAAAGTATTCACTGCTGATGCCCCAGCCAAACACAAGGCTGTGGTGTTCTCAACAACTTACTCTACTCAAAGTACCTTGTCAGGCAGCCATCAAGATGACTGAGCCCATGGAAATTGGCAGTTTCTTAAAGAACGGCCACCCCAGAATGAAAGGCTGCTGTATAGCTGTATCTTTTAGCATCTCTTTCAAATGGATTTTCTGTAGTAGTGTAAATAAATGAAAAGACCGGTATGAATGGGTATTGCTTTAGGCAGTTCCCAGATTCACTTAAAGCTCAGTCACAGCATCCCATTGGCACTGGAGAAGTCTAAAAAGGGTGATTCACAGATCCCACAAGTGATTTGCAAAGGGAATCTGGCACATGCTGTATAGAAGTAAGGCTCTGATGGATTTGTATGTGCGTACCAGGTAGGAACAGTGTGGTTCCCATACAGCAGTCACGCTAATGAAGCGATCGTGAACATCAGTGCTCTGCCCTTCCTGTGTCTTGGATTATACACGTAACCACAGATGCAGATAGTCGGGCAGGTTCTAAACTGCTGTAATCAGCTTCTAATGTTCCGTTTAATAACGTACCGACTTTCCATTTCGTAAGCAACGTCATTGATTTCTACAGCCATCCTCTGAATCTCTTCCCTGGCTTGTTCTTCAGCTGTGTCCTCCATGCTGCTCAGGATAATGTCTTCCAAGTAGGAGTCAATAGTGCTCTGGTGCACCTTCACCACCTGGAACAAAACACCAAGATATTGTTCCTCTGCCTGTTGCTGTGCCAGGAGCATGGTGGAAGCAGATCTCCAAAGAAGCAAGAACAACGGATTTGTCACCAGACTCTTGATTTCAGGCAGGCCAGCCTGAGATTTGGTTTCAGAGGTGCTTTTTGGAAAGAATAACTTGTCTAAACATTTATTTTCTAAAAAATCTTTCTGAGAATTCATTGAACGGAAACCAGGGCAGGAAAAAACCAGTGGTGGAAGAAAAACTTATTTGCAGCTCCTGCTGCAGCAGGTCAGTTCTGTGAATGCAATAGCAGTTGCTTCATCAGTTCTCACGGTCCCCTGAGCGACAATTGCCAAATAATAAACATCAGTATTGACTTTAGTAAATTAATCAGCTTTCATTCAAGCAAATCGTGAAGGAAAAGGTGCCATCAAGCCAGTCAAAGCAATAGGAATAAAATCAAGATAAAATTATTGGTTTCCTTATAATGGTTGTAGAGCAGAGATTCTAGAAATGGGTATTTTCCTTCTGCTAGTCTGAAGGGTATAAGCCTATGGCACTTTGACCCTCCTTGCTTCCCACTCAGAGATGCAGAAAAGATAAGAGAAGAAGCTAAAATTAAACCAAAAATAAACATGATGCCAGACTCTCTTGGTATTAACCTCCTCCCACAGAGTTTGAAAGTTATTGGTTTAGTCAATTAGGCTCCCACTCATTCCTTTCAACTGGGAGAAATACACTTCATGCAGTCAGGAGCTAGGGAATAGGGCTATAGAATAGTTATGGAATATGGTAGTTCAGGAATTTTGTTTCTGGATTCCAAGCTTATGTTATACATTATCATTACTTCAAAATATTTTTTGTATCTCTTGCTATTTGCAGACTGCTTTTGAGGGGCAAAATCATTCCAAAACCTTGCTTAAAGGCATCCTTCCTGGGAGAGTACCTAATAGTTCTGCTAGACAGACCATGTGCTGACAAAATATTATTCCTAAACATGATCTAGGAACACCTATTCTCCATAGGTGTTTGTTGTGGAAATTTAGAAGCCCACATCCACTCATGATATACCTAACAGGACTGTCTGTAGGGGTATTCAGATCATCCTTAATTTAATGGGCATGACCCTCTCTTCACTCAGCTTTCCCCCTCAAGTTTAAAACTAGCCATCACCAAAGTCAGAGCTGAAGCACCTCCCTCCCATCCGGACCTTCCCACAAGGAGGCAATTCCTACAAACCACCCACAGTACCACCAGTCTCCCTCTCTTGCCTGTCTGAAAATCTCATCTTCTTCCCGCTGCCGCCTCTCCTCCACCTGACGGCGTCCGCTCTCCTCCGCTTCCCGCATCCGCCTCTGCCTCTCAGCCAGCATGACAAAAGCGTGGATCTTCCGCTCTTCTTGCAGCCTCACCAGTTCTTTGGACAGGAAATCAAGTGTGTTCGCCAGTGTCCTTCCTTCTTCCCTGGCCAAGTGGTTTTCCACTGATGACAGCTTTTAAAAAAAAAAAAAAAAAAAAAAAGCAAAGAATTGTGTTACAAACCCCAGGAATGTTTTTCAAAGTCTCAGGACTACCACAGGCATGTGAAACAGCTCTGCAACATCCACTCAGACCAGCCACGGGACAACCTTATACTTTTGCTTTTTTTCTTGTTTTACATGCATTGGCTTGGATTCTGCAATAAGGTAATGTTCATGTATACAGGCTCTAATGGCATAAAGAGGCTAAAAGATCGCCAAACTAGCGAAGGTGAGAATAGTCCTGATACTGTCACACTAGGACAAGCAGCCCCTCTGCTAGAGTGGGTGGGAGGAGGTAAAGCACTAGACACTGTATTCCAGGTATTATGAACCACTTTTATGGCTGTGAGTATAATCAGAATAGTTGCTGGGGCCATCTGCTTGTCACTGGGGAATGCTCCACTGCCCACGCCAAGAACGGGGACGTAAAGAAGTGACAGTGGAATTACCTCAGCTGCTTACCCCCCATCTTTCTGTGCTAAGCTCAGCAAGACCGGAACTGAAAAATGGGATCAAAAGTTGCAAATGAAGCTTCTTTCTAGCATTTGGAAAGTAAACCTTTAATCTTTATGAGTAGGAAGCTTGAGTAAAGATTTAGGAAACTGCAATTCTGAGTACAGAATCCTAAGGATACAAAATGTTTGTTACGGTTCAAAGCCATCTCAGTGAAACGGTACGTCTGTTTAGACATCCATGATGTGACCAAAGTGATTCCACTTGCTGAGATAATACAGCAACCGAGTCCCTACAGCATTAGGTAATGAGTTATTACCTAAAACTGTACAAGTTACTAACTAGTTCAAATTGACAGTAATTATATTGAATTTGCAGAAGTGCAATAGAGACCTCAAAATGCCAGGTAATGGAAAATCAGAAAGTCTGCGACAGAGATGCAACTAGATTCTAGTTGTTCAGCACTACTGTGCCATTCACTCCTTGTTCCAAGCACATCATGTTTAATGGTTGGGTATGTGTGATTGCACTTCAGAAAGGGACAAGATCTATGGTAAGTTCATCATCTCCAGCATGTACTGTGAAGCCACAGTCCTTGGCAGGAGGGAATGTCTGGAACTGGCTGGGATGCTGTGTTTCTGTTGGAATAAATAGGCAATAACAGAGTAGACCTGAGCATAAAACTCAAAAATGAGCCAAAATATCCCAGACGAGTAGTAAGAAATCAGCTTTCTTATACTGCTGTGCCATTTGCTTATGCAGAGTTTCAGAGAAAGTGGGATTGTCAGTGTTGCACACATCTAGAAGTAACAGTGCTTAGTGCACAGGTTTTAAAGTTAGAGGATGGCAATGCAGTAACCCCGCAGGGAGGGATAACATGGAACTGCGGCGCGGCTTCCTCTTTATCGCTCCAGGTGCTGTGTCTAAAACTGTTGTGAAATGGGGGAAAACAACCCAGGAACACTCTCGTCTCAGACTTTTGTTGTATATGAGGTTGGAAATTTTCAACCCCTCATCTTCGACTGTTTTATCTGGAGTTCCTGTCCTCTTTCTGCAGGAAGCATTTCTTGAAAATTGCCCATTTTTATACTGGAAAGGTCAGAAAACTGAAAAAACTGTGACCACCAAGAACTATAGAACTGTGAGTCATCAGTGACTTTCTAAAATAAATAGCCACACACATAGAAAATTCCTGCACATGCATTCCAGAGAGTTTTAAAGTTCAAAATGTTTGAAGACCTGAGCCTTGGACTGTGTGCCTTCAGAGACAGTGAAAAAACCCATGTAAGAGTGGAGGAGGTAGATACCAGCAGAGGGGGATAGTGGCTCTCCCAAAAGAAAATCCTGAGATCAGAGGTCAGCATCTTTACTGCTCACTCTCTTTCTTTCTGTGAATGTCATTACGGTGTCTGGACTTCTTTCTCCTTCACTCCCACCTGGGCTTCCAGAAGAGAAGGAGCATTTCAAGTTCCTAATGCCTAAGGCTTTTATTTTTCTCTTAATTCCTCGGTAGAAAAATTCAGTGTTCCTGCATTCCACCACACCTGGGCTCCCTGTGTATGAGGGAACATCTGGAAATGCTAAATAGTAAAACACAGCTGCTCGGTTCCGTTTTTGCTGAGATGTGAGGGGAAATTGTGTTGCTGCCCACCCAGCAGGAAGCAGTGGTGTGGCTTAATCTCCACCAGGACAGCTGGCCAGTGGATGCTGTTAACATAATCTGGAACCTGCAGAATTGCCTCACAGCTGGTCACTGAAAAAAAAAAAAAAAACAGGAGGGTAGTAAAAACTATAGGAAAACCTGCAGGAATGCAGGAGATACTGTATAGCTGAGATTCAGTGAAGTCTGGACAAAATTTCTTTATGATCCATTTCAGACCAGCATCTACCTTTTGATTCACTTTGCTCTGGAAGGTTGTGGCCCTGCAAGGAAATAGGATGGGAATTTGCATCCCCAGCTCTCACTAGATCCTTGGCAGAGGACAGAGCCCAGAATTTCTCTGCTCTCCGTAACAGTGGCAACAACTACTACGTGACACCATTGCTAAGGTACTATAAGTCTCGAGCCCAGCAAGATGTACAAGTCTGCTTTGGCTTCTTTTGTGATGTTTGATGCCTGAGGAGGAGCCTGAGAGGGTGCCAAGCTAGAAAAGGAACAGGGAAATGACAGAGCAGTAACACACGTTCAGTAAAAGATCTGACAGATGTGAGTGACAAGCATGTATTGTAATGCCAGGTCACAGCACCAGATTGAAATGTGGGAAAACTGAGGTTCATCTGACAGTGCAGTTTGTTCAAAGACCTCTAAATATAAATATGTGCTGTCTGCAAACCAAGCAAGTGCAGCCTGGGTGGTAGCAGTGGTCAGGGCACCTCAGTCTACTTCTCAGATTTTCCAGAGCCCCCACAGCAGCGAGAGCACAATTTTAGCCCCTCCAGCATCCAGTGCTTGGCCTGTGCTTGGAGAGTATTTTTGTTACTTGGGGTGCTTCCTGTGCTGTGGATAACAGAAAACATAAATTAAATGGGAGAGTGTTGGTGGTACTGCAAGCAGAGAGTGCCTGGTGAGGACAGTGTTGTGAATCAGCTTTCCCATCTATACAGGCAAACCTTGTGCATTTGCAAGTCATGCTGCTGCTGTAGAGCCTGTGTCATCTGCTCCTCTGCCTTCAAGAGCAGCTGTCCATCCTCCTGGAGTGCATGAGTGGTGCGCAGCTCTTGGATCAGGTCCAGCCGCTTCTCCTTCCCCTCAAACATCTTTAAAATAAACAACCAAGCATATTAAATGGACTATATAGATCAACATGTTTTGCCAGCAGAGCACAACCTTTTTCTCCAAGTTCCAAGGTCAGCTGTTTCCAAGACCTAGTTCTCTTTAACAAATTTGTGGTTGCATTTAGGCAAATACTACAGCTGTCAGGTAAATCTTGCCTAAACCCTCCTGCATAAAAGATGAAAGCTGAGAGTTCTGCTGTGCTGTATAGATGATCCCTTGCTACTTTATTATATATATATATATTTTTAATTCTCTTTGGCTTTACCCAGACCTCAAACTGCTGGAATGCAGAACAGCAACATCAACCTCAAGTGAAAATGGCAGTAGCCTTCTGGATATCCTGTTACATCAGCCTCAATGTCAAAGCTTCCCACTGTGAGCACTGCCCATTTTCCTCAGTCCCGGGTAAGATGTCTCCTGTTTCAACATCTACTGTTCTCTGACCTTCGTTTTGAGGGAGTCCAGCAACAGCTCAAAGCAATAAATTGGTGGGGAGGCTATTGAAACTGCTGCTGTCCCTGTTATGGGGTTATGTGGCCCAGCCCTTCCCTGACACTGCCTTATTTTCATTCCCCCTCTCTTCCAACAGGACTTCCAACAGTAACAAAAGATCACTCAACCCTGCTCATGTCATTCTCCGAGTCACATATTTCTGATCCAGTAGTGGCTGGCAGGAGATTCCTAAAATGATGGGACATTTCATGATGTGAAAGTCAACAGTCATGCAATGGCATCAGACGTCCTTCTCACAGATCACCACAGAACTGAAGAAGACTTGGGAAGTTTATATTCCTCCTCAAGCCACTTTCACAGTATGGCATTGTTTGCTAAAACTCAGGTCAGGGTCCCACACAAGAACACTTCACAAACATTAAATAAATTGTGCAAGAGAAAATATCAATTATATTCTCAGCAGGCATGAAAACAAACTTTCTGGAGAGGGCTGACCAAAGGTGATAGACATGATTAATATAAAGCCCACAAGGCTTGGCTACTTAATTTTTACCTAGACCCACTTCTGCTCCACTGAAAGCAGAATGATAGGTCCTGCATTTGCTGGAAATCATGGTAGTATGCTTCAGCTGCTCCTCATATAAGGTTCAGCTCACCATTGCAGGAAACTGGAAAGATGGTATGAAATACAAGCTGCCCTGCTGGCATGTGGGAGGTTTCCTGTGCCTGGGTTCTCGGCATAATCAAGGCAAAATGTACTCGTGGTCCAGACCTAGTCTAGAATTTGCCATTTGAGTAACTTTGCTGTGAAGCATCTAATTAAACAGCCGAGTGTGGGTAATGGCAGGAACAGGGAGACACTCACAGACGTGTGTAGGAACCTAGAAGTTTCTGTAAGAAATTTGGGCTGGAGTGCGAAGACTTGAAGGACTCCAGGTAACAGAGAGGAAGATAAGCTGCAGAAGCCTCATTACCTTGATTAGTGCTGTGGAAGAAAGATTGCAAACACACTTTCAATCATTCTGACGATCATTCTGAAAAGAGACACAAACTAAGAGGATACCATGTTCTGAATAGCCCTGCCGCGGAGCAACTTCTGCAGACAGATCACTGCCAGTTCTGTTTCCTCTTCCTCCTGTCGAAACAGAACAATTATCCACACAATCATGAATTATTTCTTTGGAGACTGAGATTTCTATAGTTTATCCACCTATCAAAAGTCTAACTCATATCCAGCTTTTTCTCAGTTGTTGCTGAAAGCCATTCTTCTGATTTCTAGGGAAAGGAAGGTGAGTCATAACACTACATACTTCCATGTTTTACAAGAGATGGGGCAGAAAGGCTGTATTACTAGATTCTATCTGAGATTTTAGAGGGTCTTTGGAGATGAGTACCTAATGATAAGGAGATGTTGATGGAGAAAATTAGCGTATGCATTACAAGAACTATTTGTAGCTTGACTGGATCTGAGTTTGCAAAATGAGCATCAGCTACATTAATTTAACAGATCAAGACACTGAGGGGATAGAATTATTAGTGAAGGAGGTGCAAGAGAGTTGCTAACTAGAAATAAAGGGATTAAATTAAAAGGGAACATGTACAATTTTTCTTCTGATATTTATCCCTGTGGTGACCATTATCAGAGTAACTCAGTAAATTTAAGACTCAGAAAGGGATAGTTTGGAAGTGAAATTAATTACATTATATTGTGATTTATCTCTTCGAGAACTTTAGTGGCCTAGCATTGTGTGACTGATACCAACTTGGAAGAATGATGGAACATAGTGGGAAAAGGGAACATGACCATAGGAGGGAAAATTAAAAAAAAAAAAAAAAAAAAGGCTTATTTTAAATAGAGGAATAGAGGAAGCACAGCTGGCTGCATTTTTTCTTGATGAGCGGTATTCTAGTCTGGAGTTGACAGTAGCAGAAGGAAAAAGCCCACTGGGTGCCTGGGAAAGATAAAAAGAAGTCTATAAAAATTGCAAGGGATTTTTTTTAATAAAGAGCCTCCAAGGTCTGCATTGAAATGTGGTATTTTAGAAGTGCCGGAAAAACAGGGAAGAGCGTGGGATGAGAGAAGTGGTGTGGGCTTGAATCTCAGTATCTGTTTTTTCTTAGGTGTTGAGGATTAAGTTTTCCAAACGTAAAAGGAAGCATTCCTGCCTTTCCACACCACCAGCCAGGAGGAGCAAAGCAGAACTAGCCAAAGGATTGCCTTATAATTTGGTATGTTCTTTTTCTCTGGAAAGAAGGGAGGGATTTCCAGTCCAGTCCGAGAGCTAAACTCAACGCCTGTCTACAGTGTGAAAACCCTTCAGGACAGAATTTTGGAAATGGAGATGGTACATATACTGGACAGGTAAGCCAAACTGCTTAGTTTGATTTAAACTAAGACTTGGTTTAAATTTTTGTGAGATGCATTTTTCTGTACTTCTGTTGTTCGGTGTTGCAAATGATGTGTTAGCAAGGGTAATCATCAACTTCTCCATCTGCCTGCTACAGACCAGCAGGAAGGAATGAGCAGTGATGGAAAGCCTATCATGCCCTGCAGGAAAAGGAAGAAAAAAAAACCCAAGGAATTAAGGATATAGAAGGATCTAGGAGCAGGCTGAAAACTAGAGGGGGTTGGGAGAAAGCGATAAACCAGTGACAAAAGATCAGAGACACTCTCTGAGCTTGTTGTGGCTAGGAAGGGCGTAAGAAATGACTGGGGGAGAGGAGTTGAGGAGGCCTGCAGTAGTGCCTCCGTTCTCTCCACTTTCTTTTATATCCTTTGTGGTCCGTGTCACCCGCCTGCCACTCTGGCACCACACTTTCCTTCTGAGATCCTCAACTCCAGCGGGAAGAGGCTGGTGCATTTAGCAGTTGGTACTCATCTGTGTGTATGGCAGGAAGAGGAGCATTAACAACAGAGAAGAGCCTTCCTTTCAGCGCTCCACGCAGCCAGCTGGTAGGAGAAACCTGACTTGGATTCTGCAAGGCAGGAGATGTTAGCGCTGCTCTTCAGTGCCTGAAGTGGCCCGATTTTACAGATGGAGCTCCACTGAAGAGCTCCACTCTTTAACGTGTTCACACATAAAGATACTTGAAAATAACCCAATATTGACAGAATTCGTTTCGATGGAATTCAATTCTGCTGGAACGCTTTTAAAAAAGCTATAACCTGTTAACACGGTCAAGAATTACTACAACCAGGGGATAAATCTTTCTGATTTCTTTCCATGTTACCTGGAAGTACTTAAAAATCTGCTAAACTGGTAAATCTAAATAGTGTAAATCTACCACTGCAATACAATATTTAGTACCTAGGAGTTAGTAAAGCTGTGGAAAGCTCTTCCCAAGGAGATATTCTTGTCACAGTCATCTTAAAATAGACTGTATAAAACACAGGACATCATACTGCACAAAGGAAGACAGCATGGATGATCTAATAAGACTTTCTCACTTTCATGGTTGTATGACTCTCTTAATTTCCCATGTTTAAATGGCAATTGTGTCTGATTCTTACTACATCATGAAAATGGTGTTAATAAGCAGACAAAGTAATCCACCGGGGCAACTACCTCTTAAGTGCGTTACTTTAAGAAAGGAAAAGAAGTTGCAGCTCCTCTAAAAAGTTGTTTTTTCCTACAGCTTATCACATCTATGACACATCATTACTGCTATTTCAATCTCTGCAGAAGAATAATTTTCTGTGAACTGGAGCATGCTCATCAAAGACTGCATCCTGCGTGATGACAAGAAGCTTCACTCCTGCAAATTAATGAAGGGCATGCTCCGTGCTAAACACTGACTTCAATGGGATTCAACTTAATTGCTCCACTGGATTACGATAGTGTTGTCAGATCAGAAGGTTGAAAAGCACTAATTATTATTATTATTGTTATTATTAATAATAATAATAATAATAACAACAACAATAACAATGGTAATGATTCTGCCTTTTTGTTCCCCAAGAACAAGGGAATAACGTGTCTAGTTAAGGATTTGGCCAATAGATACTGTAAAAGATTTTCAGTTCTTCAGCTGCTAGTATCTTTATAGAATAAAGAGAGACTAGAAGAGTCTTAAGAAATAGTGATGGCTATTTCTAACATGAATACACATAAAAATGATAAAGCTCACTTCTTTCCTTCTGCGGGCATTCCTTTAACAACCGTATAGGAAACAATCAGGGATCAACAGAAAAAAAGTGCTAAAACCAGCCCACTTACAATGGATGGTTTTTCCAGGATTGGAGTGGGTGGCCGAGGAACAGGCTTTTCTACTTTTTCAAGGAAACGGAGGGGCTTCTTTGGTTCCTTGACTTTATTCTTCTTCTCCAGTAGTGCCTGGAACAGACACATGATTTAATCAGAACTGGGCTAGATAGAACAACACAGTAATGCCAGTCCTCTAGATGCTGACTGATGCTGATCACACTGATTACAGGGAGCTGAAAGTATTTTGCACTTTGCAGCCTTGTGGCTTCCATTTCTTCCTGCACATCAGCTGAAAAGCTGAATACGGTCAGCAGGCAAGGCTGTTGGTTGCTCAGAAGATACTGACATGAACTTCAAAATCATATGTAAGAAGGAAGATTTTGCTGTATTTACAAGTACGTCATCATCAGTTGCATAGGGTGAGTCACCTGAAATTAATCTAAAATTGGTGTGAACTTAATCTCTAATATAATACATTCTTAAATAAAAGCATATTTCAGAATTATTTTTTTTCATTTAAAAATAGGAATCTCATTGAACCAATTAAACACTGACCCATGTGCAAGCAGAGGCAACTGTGTGCGTTACTTTCCTTATGCAATGAAAAAAATATTATTTTCCTCTAAGATAGAGGTAGGATTCTTTCAAAACATGAAAAATGGGTAGGAAGATCAGAATTTAATTCCAGTTTACATATCACTACAGAATGGTTATAATTCTTTGCCTTTAACCATAGGTACAATGATTATTACTGTGGGTTAGAAATATTCTATGGTCAGAAGATTTTATGAAGAGGGGTTGCTTGAAGAGCGTACTGTCACTGTTCTGTGGCCCATCCTCAGTGAAATGTCTAGGTATGCTACGCTGTTACTGTGCAGGATTGAACCAAATGACCTTGGACCCCTTCTTTGCAAAATGTGGTTTGAAACTCTTCTCTGCTCATCAGCAATGGTCCAGGGGCACCCACAGCAACTGTACAAGTGGACTAAGGGCAAAAGGGAAAATAACTTGCCAGAGAACTTCCTTCTATTGAGAAAATCCACAAGCCTGTTAGGAGTGGGTTTCATCTTGCCTGCAGCTGTTTGTGGCAGATGCCAAACCTTGTCAGCCAAAGCAGGCTAGGAGTGGAAACGCCACCATGGCCTCAACTTTTTCAAGACACTTTCAAGCTGCTTAGAGAGCTAGAGTCCTGCCAACTTCCCATCACAAGTTGCTTAGAACAAGATATTCAGATAGTAATTTCCAACTGCACAGCAATGCTTGCCTGCTGTCGGACATCACGCTTTGGCTTGCAAAGGAAAGGGAAGAGAGTATGTACATTTAAAGCTTCTTCAAAATTATGATCCTACTATTGTATGGATTGGATCTGTAACCTTTATTACCGAAAGAACAGACATATTCCAGCAAGGAAAAGTGTGCCTTTTTTTTTTTTTTCTTGCTCTCTGTCTTTCAAATGTTCAAATACAGTATTTCACTAGGGAGGGAAACCAAACAAAAACTTAAGAAAAAACTCCAATGCTGAATTTCTCTCTCCAGTAACAGGAAATTGATGGCACTTGCACAGAATTCAATTGTGAAATTAATGAAGTTTTGAAACTCTAGTGGTCATCGTACAAAACTCTTCTTGCCTATTGGATCTGACCTTTCAGGCCAGAATAATTAATTGCTCCAGAAAAGGAGAGAGATTTCTAGGTGGAGGGGATAATATGCTTTATTATTGAAAACTCCTGAAATGGACCATGTTAATAATGCAAGAATCAAAGCCTATAAACTGCTTACAAGCCACGTGAAATGATTATAGCTCAAAAACATTGAGGGATTTTCTGAACTGTTTCTTGTAGTTGATGACCTTAGAGCTCTCCGGCATGAAGATTATAACAGTGCTTGCTATGATTTATAAGGTGTTTTTCATGACAGGAGGAGAAATTGAAAGAAAAAGGCTGCTGTAACCGTGATACTTTTGAAAACAATGGTTCCTATGTTTTTATTAGTACAATGTTGCATTCATAAGAATTTTTCTAATAAAACCTTAGCCTCCAAAAATATTTCTTGCTAACCAGAATAACAAAATACAGCCAGAATAACAACTTTTAAAGACAGAGAAATCTATGAGCACTTCTGACAAGAGGGAATGTTTATTATTATTAATGTAGATTTGGGAAATAATGCAGTTCTCAGAAGTGGTTTCACGTCAGCATAGTCTAGTGCCTGCTTTGCTATCTTTACTATGTCAAAATTGCTTACCATTTGCTTTCTCTAATCTGAGGTTTTAAGTTATTTTAAGACTTAAATATAAGAAGAGAAAAAGAAAATACTGTTTCTTTTCATTCACTGCTTCTGCCTAACTTAACAAGTTACCATTTTTCAAAATAGAGAGACCAGGCCCCAAGAATCACTGTACAATATTTTCTTTAAAAAGAAAAAAGTGCTGAATTTCTGAACATATTTCAAATGTTACTGCTTACATGTCATGCTCTAACTTTTCTGAGATAGACTACATTACTTTTTTCAGGTAGTAGGTTCAGAGTCATGGTATAAACTGGTTGGATTGGACAGTGAAGGACCACCCAATTCGTCTCCTTTTCATTTTCCTGGCAAATGCAGTGAGCAGCAAATGGCACCCATGCTTCTGCCCATACACCTTAGCTTCTTTGCTGGCTTCTGACAAAAGCAGAACTCTTGACAGGATAGTGGCTTGAGAAACAACTCTCTGTTCAAAGAAGTAATTCTTTAGATTCCTTCCTTATCTTCTCTGTGATCCTCTCCTTTTCACCAGACACTAGGTATATTTTATTTTCATGTACAGCAGAGAGTATACAGTCATGTTTCTCTTTCTTCCTTTTTGCACATGAATGAAGAAGGTGAGAACATCAAGGATGGACTGACTATCCACTTTGCAACGCAGCACGGCCGCTGCATCTTGGCTGATCAAGACTGACATAATAGCTCTTAGAGCTCGTCTGAGCATGAGCCAGCTAACACTGTGTTGCAGATCTGTTCTTGATGAAGCAACTGCTTGAACAGGTTTTCCTGCGCTTTGAAGTTGGCAGAGATTTTCTCCAGAGACATTCTTGGCCCCCCTACTTCTCCATCTCCTTCCAGCAAACGGATAAAGGAAAACAGGTGTGATGAGAGTTGCACTTAATGCTGAGGTGAGAGGTTCTTTGTTCTGACATCATTCATCCAGCGCTTTGAATCTACCTGACACGTCACCCCTCTTGAGTCACCAGAGCATAGAAGGTCAGCCTGAAGTCACATGTTGTTCTGACCTGGGATTTCTTCTAACAGCTCCTCCGTTCCTTGGTGTATTTGGTTACCTAGTTGCATTTCTTTCCTATAGTAATTAGCTGTATCAGTATGCTATCTCCTTAATGCCTTGGATTTTCACACGAGGCTGTCTATATAATGGTTCACTTACATTCCTTAAAGCACTGTCATCTGCACTGGCTAGGAACTAGATTTCCTTGTCCTTTTACAGATCTGGAATAAGATACAGATCACTGTTTTTACTGTAAATCCTGGGTGACTTCTGTTTCTGCCATGCGCTCATGTTTTAGAGAATTATTCAAAGAATACTGAGTATACATAATACCCCTGCAAAAGGTTTCAGGATGCTCCTCAAAAAGTCTGTTTCTACAATCACTTCTTTTTGACTTAGTTTCAAGACTGGAAAAAGCTGTTCTTATTCTCAAGAGGACACATATCCTTTTTGTAGTTGCTTGGATAATTGCTTGTCCCTTCTTACAAGCTTTAAGCTTAGGAAAACCCTCAATATGGCAAACCAGAAGGAACATAATGAGGAGGACTAGTCCATCTTGCCCCTTGTGTGGCCAGAGAAGCAAGCCTTGGAAACTTCCTTTATTAAAATTAATTACTTCTGAGGGCAAAATCTATCATTCCTCCTCTATGTACCACCTCCTTCCACAGATTATCTAGGGAAAATTAAATAAACTCATTCTAGAGCTAGATCACTGTGTGTACTCCGAATTTTCTAGAATTCTGCTTTATTTCTAGGATTATGGGAGAAAGTGTGTAGATTAAGTATGCTAGGACAGCACTAAGAAGAGGCTTTTGAAGAGAAAACTGATCTAGTTGCTCAGCTATAGGCATAATACAAAGCAACACAGTGTCCTTCTGAGATGATCCCTGAGTGTTTGCTTTGAACCTCTCTCATACCGTGTGTGATGGAGGTTGTCGGCAGGACCGAGACTGTGTATGCCAAGCGGTCAGACAGCTGTCCTCTCAAGTGGTAAATTCTGTTAATTCAAGTATTCGGCACCCTTTACTACCCTCTTCTTGACAGCTCTGGGAGCTTATAAGGTGGACCTGTCGGGGAGGTCCTGCTAAGCCAGAACATGCTATAGACACCAAACTTAAGAAGCAAAAGCCTCTGATGGGAGAAGTGACCGGTAACAGCACCACAGAGCTCAAGTGCTAATTAGGGCAGTAATTTCTTGTTGCTCTGAACAGAAAGTTTGTTTAAATCTAACAGTGGCTGAGGCAGTCTGAGTGTTTCACTGTGTCAGTACTTTCTGCTTGTCTGGACCAACCAGGCTGGTGTCTACTTCTGTATCTCTAAAAGCAGCAGTGAAATTTTGCATAGTGGATTTATCACCTTTGCCTGCAAATGAAATGCTTTGTGATTTTAAAAGAATATACATTTTGCCTTCTTGTGGTGGGGAAATGAGTATTAGTTATGTTAGCCCTTCAGCTGGTATAAATTGTAGACCAAGAAATCTACACTGATTTAAGAAAGAAAATATGAACAACTGTCTGCTTTCCATCTCCCTTTGGCCACCAATTTTTCTCTGAAGAGACCAACCAGCGTTAGGACATACTTCTTCTCCATAACTACAGTTTAGACACTCCACTGTAGCCTTTCAAACCATTAAGAGTATTTTGAACAAACAGAATACAATTGATGTAATTGGAATTCAGCTCTGAAAGCTTGGGCTAACATTCTGCTATGAGAACTGTGTTATGATCCAGATTATACCTAGTCCTTACTTGAATTTTATGCAAAAAGCAACCAAACCCAAACCCCTTCAATACTGCAGTGTCTTCTTCTCTAAAACTGTAGTGAATCAATGTCCTTAGTTCTTGAACACTTCCTGTAGCACTCAAGATTTTTGAAAATTTTCCTTCTGGATAATAAACAATGTTTCGTCTTTTAACAGATCCAGTGGAATTTAAATTTGAGATAATATGATTGATTTTTCAGAAAAAGATTTCAATTTAAAATGGATTAGGAGGAAGTTACTGTTTGTGTTGAGAGTATTATCAAATTACACTAAAACAAGAAATCTATACACATAATTTCCAATTATGAAATATTTCTTCACTAAATAAAGCATAAGTGAAAGTTGCCAAGCTTTACTAATGAAATTCAATATTTTTCAGCAATATAGCAGCCAGCCAAGAATATGCCTGATTTTAAAAACGGTAACCCTCAATAGCATCACAAGAAGCGTACTTAAAAGTACATGTAATTTACAAATATTCTGATTGTAGATGCAAATGAGGCACTTCTTTCCTCAGTGGTTAATTGCATATATGGACACCTCATCTGCATGAACAGTTATGATAAATTAAGATATGCAAAACAGTATTAGCATGTTTGCAAATCAGATGCTGTTGTTAGGGAACAACAGTGATGTGCATCCACCGTTCTGATCTGATTTCATGAGTGGAGTAATTTTTATCATGCTTTGCTGCAAGTGTTTTTACAATATGTACTTAAAATGTACATTTTAAAAAATGTACATCATTTTTAGAATATGAATCCAGATTCATTATTAGTAGTTTGGCAGTGCAACCCGTAGGTTTGCCACTTGTGCATTATAAAAGCAAGGAAGAAATGAGAACGAGCAAATGGCAGGAGGGAATTTCTAACTGACTTAATATGTTCCCATCCAAAAACCTGATCTGTAGGAAGACAGAAGCAGCTATGCTTGTTCTCTATAGAGTCGGAGCAGAAACACAGATATTAGGGAGAGAGAGCACTGGCAGACTGAGTTCCAGAGCAGTACAGGTCATGCCTACAACAGTCTGAATGTTTGATCCATTCTGTCCTTGAAGTTGTCTCACAGAAAATATGAATTTAGCACAGGAAATTGGGAGAAAGCTTACATGTGTGTCTTCCCAATTGTATTTCTGAGCAGTTTAAATCTAAGAGGAACTGACATGCTGCTGGATGCAGCTCCATACCTGGTGAACTTGTGCCAGCTCCACCTCTAGCCTTGCTGATCTTTTAATAAATCCAGTCTTAGTGGTAGTGTACTTAGGTTCTGGAGCTTTAATCTTGACCTGAGTAACAGAATCTGGGAGAGATGCTTCCAATTCACACAGTCCTAATACAAACAGCAATTAAGTAATGAAGTGGTAGGGAGAGAAATTGAGGTTTGTTAATATTTTAAGTAAGTATCTTATACAAACTGAGTCTTCCAAAACGCCTTACCTGCGAAAGTGTTAAGATACAAGCTTTTTACCACATAGCGTTCAGAATGGTTGTCTGGGAAATAACCAATTCTAGACAAAGGAGCGTATGTTTGTGAGGCAAAGTCTGTATACTCTTTGATGAGATCTCGTCTCTCCAGCTTCCCCATCATATTATTCCTCTTAGATATCAGTTTCCTGAGCACTGAAAAGGAAATACAAATGCAAGAAGGTTCTTCATACACATAGTTCTAACAAAAGCCCCATCTTTGGAAATTCACAAAAGCTTTTGCTGGTTAATATAAAACATGACCTGTTTGACCAGAACAAATGCTGGCCACGCATATCTACGTTGTGGATGGAACCTGTTTCATCTTGAATAAAAACTGCAACCTTGTGAAAACAGAAATGGCTTGTCTGAAAACTAAGTTTCATACTACTCTCCCCCTGGTTTTCAAACTTACTCAGTGCACAGTCATGCTGAATCTTTTTAATTTTCTCTTCTTTAGCCTTCTGATGATTTTGCCAGTGGTCATCCAAGCGCTTGGCATCCAGCTCATTCTGATTCTCCTCTCGCCTTCGCAGCAGCTTCTTTAAGACTTCCAGTCGAACTTCCTGCAACCTGAAAGGAAAGAAAAGGCCAGGTATAACCTACTGTACTCTGCAGTGTTCTGTGTAATGCTGTCATCATCAAATCCTACATACCAACTGTCTACTTTACACATAGATCATATTGCATATCTCATATTTAATCTTTAATTTTAAAAAGTGAGTCTACCACTGGTGAAAAGTATTTTGGTAGCAGTCTCTTATATTAAATTTAACAAAAATATCCTTTCCCAAACTCAGGGGACTTTCGCAGGAATAAAAGGCTTGTACCCTTCCTGTTCCTTCTCTATTCAGCCGATAACTAAAAGAAATAAAGAGCACAACCGAACTCCTACTTTTCTATTTCCTGTTCTCTAAAGGCCCACTCCTTCCTCTCCATATCATCCATCATTTTCCTCCTCTTTGCAATTTGTGAGGCACTGTCCATTGCTGGAAGAGTTGCTTCCCATGCACGTTTTTCCCGGGCACGTTCAATCATCTCCACCTCGGCAAGTCCTGCTGGTAGCCCCCGACCTTACAGGGACAAGAAGAAGTAGCTCTTTAGAAGAAAGGCGAATCCAGCAAATAACCATTACCAACAAAGTATTAGAGGACTGGATGGGCACAAGCCCATATGTTAAACACAAACACAGCTGTCAACTGTGTCAATATTTCTACAGTAAAATACTGTAAAATTCTACAGTATGAGGAATGGTAGAACCTGCAGTTGCTATAGCTTAGCTGACATTAACGGTAGTATTTCTTCTACTGCAGACTGCAAAAGGAGGAAAAACTTTTCCAAGAAGACATTTTCTGAGAATGAACACTTTCTTTGGCATGTCCTGTGTCCGTCACTATTGTGGGTGCGACAATGGGAGGTGAGGATCACAGGTACCTTCTGGAGCAGCAGTGTTCATACAGTTTTTTTACTGATGTCTAACTCAGAACAGCTGAAGAACAGTAGGTAAATAGAAGAGCTGCTCCTAGTTCATATTTATAAAACATATGACCTTTTTATATTGAATGATCTCAAAACTCTTTATGAAACCCCCCAGAACAGCATTATTAAGTAGGAAAATATCAAACCTTTTTTATAAATAGATAAAATAATGTGCCCCAAAGAAATACAACAAAAGGCTGCCAAAGCTGGCAATACTCAAAACCTGACACTGAAAAAAAAGAACCTCCTGCTAAAGAGGCGACACGATTATTGTAATTTATCTTGATTTCACAACTCACCCCAAGTGAGCGTAGCAAGTGTCAGAAGTTCAGGTACTGAGCCACTGGGAACTACATATTCAGGGGAATAGGGATCTGTCTGGGCTTCTCCATCCCTGTAATCTGTCTGTGTGCCCAAAGTTCGTAACTTGGGACCAAAGACCTCGCTGTCTCTTGTAGCTGAATGGACACAGAGCTCTGTCCTAAAAAGAGATGCAAGATGGAAGAACATTTGTCACATTCATTAAAAAAAAAAAAAAAAACAAAACCAAAACCAAACCAGAAACACACCACTAAATCAAAGGTAGGATATCCAAATCTGTTTTATCTTAACATTGCTCCCATTGATGTTAACTCTGTTATCTTTAGTAAAAGCAGACTGATGCTGCATTGAATCCTTTGAAACCTCCCTCTTTAGGTAAACAATCCAGAAATCTCCTGGTTTCAGCTCTCACAAGTTATTACATGCAGATCTTCCCTATGTATCCATTCTAAAGCATTGCTGTTAATGGACACAAAAAGTAACTAATGGTTAAGTGTAAAATGAAGTAGGACTGCTTCAATTTAGCTGACATGTTTGTCTTGCCAACAATTCCAGAACAAAAATTAAATTCTTGTGTAAGCACATGCAACTTCCCTTGACTCTACTAGGAACTGAATCTTCTTATGTCCCCTGAAAATTTGATCCCCACTGAAAACCACTTCATGGATGCTCTAAACCACTGAGCAGTATTGCAACTATCACGGAGATTATAATAAAATATCGCACGAATTTCCAACAATATGGCTGTACTGGATAATCTTCTTTGCATCGGTGTCTCTTCTAGGATTCAGAGATACTTGGCTTTCTGTTTCGGGCCTCATTATCATAACACACTTAAGGCACATGTCCTTTACCTACAAAGCACTACTTATACACTGCAAGCAAATTTCTGAAACAGTCAGTCACGTTTCCCCTTCCTCAGAAATTCTCAGTAATGAGCAACCTGTTATTTCTTAACATTTTTTTCCTGTTTGTGCATTATGAAAAATATTGGTTACCAGCTAAATAGTTTCCCGGATTTTCCTGGTGAGATGTGACCCACTACAACAGTAATGTTCCAGAACTCACTACTTACTTTGCCATTGTGTAGGCAAGATTTAGTGGAAGCAGCTTATTAGAAGGGATGAGAGGTCTGAAAAAGAGAGAACGCAGATGTAAGATAACAACCATAAGCATAAAATCATTACAGTTTAGAAAAACTGCAGTCCACTAATTTCAGTGGAGTTATACTTGTTTTCCACAACTCGGGTTCTGAAGTTGCACGTTTAAGAATTGTGCCTGAATATTAAATAATTCTTTCATAGTTAAAGAGCAACAGTTTCACCAGTAGGACTGTTATTCTTCTGTTAAAGCTGGAAGTGGAATTGCAAAACAAGACAATAATTTAGTTTTGAGTGTGCTCACAACATTTTGTGTATGTTTCGTTAATTAGTTTACTTTTTTCACTTTGAGCTTTTGAGAGAGAGGTTGTTTTTTTTTAAGAACTTCTTGAAATCCTGACGTGAATTCCTACAATCAGCTGGTAAGATAAGCTGGTTTGGACTTATCTAATTTGATTGTTTCATTTTTTTGCAGTATTTTATGAAGCATCTTGAAAGTTATATGGACTCACTGACATATTAATAATTCCTTCTTAGGCATTCTTATAGTTTGCATATTTCAGTTCACTATCAATTTCCTTTAGCATTTGAGAGACTTCAAAGCTTAACTTCAAATTGCAGAAGACATCATCATCTTTGTCCTTTTCTTGTTGCTGTTAAAGGAGCCATAAAGAACTTAGATTTATTAAACTTGGCGATTTTTTAATATTTAAAGTGGAGATATTGGCCAATTGCTGCTGCCTACAATAGTGAATGTAATTCAAAGTATATGTGACTAAGTTGAGAATGTTTGTACGCTAGCTGTTGGTTCAGATCTTGAGTCCATTGCTGACCTGCAGTGTCATTCTGGAAGGAGCAGAAAAGTCCTGCAGTAAGGGGACATTGATGAAAAGTTAATCAAGGATTCCCTTTGCTCTCTTCCTGCTCCTGGCAGAAACTAGGAGGTAAAAGGTGCCTTTTCAAGAAAAAAAGAAAAGGTGCCTTCTTCTCCAGGAGTCTAGAGGAGAACAACGGCTTCATGAGCATCTTCTTCCTTTGTGTAGGAATATCTACAGTCCAATGCTTTCTACAAATAATTATTAAGTACAGAATGCCTGGTACATTTGCTTATATGGTAACTCATTACCTGAAAATTCTAGCATTGCATGAATTCAAAAAGACCTTGTAATTTAAGGTTTGGTTACTATTTAGATTTTCTATAGCAGTGATCAATGAACTGACAGAAAAGTCAGAAAAAAAGAAGACTCTGGCATTTATTTAGGTGCTCTTTAAACTGCACAAAAGCTTCTGAACTCTGTTTCAAATCAGTTCATTCCTTACCGTGCAAAATATTTGTAGCGATTCCTTCCACTAACTTCAGGATCTTCATACACAATTTGAGGTATTTGAAGAGAAGACTGAGTTCTAAAGCCAAAATACAGCGTATCATTTAAGAAGTACATTCAGAGCAGTTCTGATCTTTTTTCTTTTTTTAATCTTTCTCTACTTCTCTTGATGCATAATCAAACATACATGCCACAAATTCCACAAAATCCCTCTACTTACACAAGCAATTATATTTTGCTTTTTCCATACTTTATATATATAGCAAAACAGTTTGACACTTTATGTATATTTACCACTATGTGTGGGCAAGAAATGGTCATTTGCTGCCTCTAATAAAACTTTCTTACGTGCTTGTCAAGAAAAGGATTGGCCACTTATAAATGCTTGACCTTGTAAGCTAAACTACTTTTATTGGGAGTGGGAGGAGCAAGCTCATTTCCTTAAGAGTGAAAAACTTTCTGTACCAGAAAATATGTGTAAAGGATTAGAATGAACAAAGGGGAAGACTACCACTTTCTACCTTTCAAAAGCAGCTCAAGAGACTTTGAGAAAATGTGGAAAATTTTAGAATCAGCAATTTCAATTTGAATTCTCCAGTAAAGGAGAAAAATTAGGATGACCATGTGAATGTTTCAAAACCTATGCTGGAGCAAGCATATCTTTTGCAAGAACAGTCTGTCTTCATTTTTTTCCCCCATTTTGAATTTAAAGTAGGCAGACTGTTTAAATTTTTCACTACAACATCTTGGAGAGTTTTCTTCATTTTAAAGCTTTGGAAGACCATGAGGTAGACCTCATTAAGGCAGTCAGTAAGAGAACTGGTAGAATTGAGTAATTTGAAAGCTATGCATCAGGATTGCTATCTCATTTTGCAACCAGTTTATACTCCAGTCTTACTCTTCTCAACCTGCAAAGTGGTTAAAGACAAGAAACAGCAGTTATTAAAAAAAAAAAAAAAAAAAAAAAAAGAGCCCATCTCATGCCATTAAGGGTAAGTCATTTCCTTAAGCTGTATATACAGCAAGTTCTGAAGGTCCTGCTTTTCATATGACCATTTTTGGCAACTTGTAAGAATCCTGACCTCAGATGTATGGGACTGTGGGTGCTGGAGTTGGTTGCTGCTGCCTAGTTTTAAATACAGAGATACAATTAATACATGACATTGCTTGACAGCTGGGGTCAGAACAGAGGATCGCATGCTGAGATCAATTGTCTTCAGAGACCTCGTCTGAGCCCTGTGAGCTGTGCTGTGGAACTTGGGGAGCCACAGTTTGGCCACCCACGACAGCAAAACCTATAGAGGGATGCTTCATTAAGCTTCCGTGACATACAATTTACTGCCAAGGTAAGTTTAAAGTCATCTCTTCCCAGTGCTTTCAGTCCTGTTTTGAGATGCAGTTCAGTAACCTGAGATACTTGCTCAGCACTAATGAACCTATTATTGTGTAGTTGTGTTTGTGATTCAAATGAGTTAATTGAGCTGATGGCTAGTTCCACTAGCTGACTCTTTACTATCAGACTGTTGAGCCATCCAGATGGATTTGTGTTTCATTCAGCACAGGTGGGCACTTATTCTTATGATCTAACTTTATTAGCATAAGCTGTTCATCCTATTATGGTATAGTTATAGGCACAATGGGAACCCAGTAAAATAGCCCCTTTTATTCCACAGATCCTGCCTTTTGCATGTCCTTGACTTCTATTTGCTGACTTTGCTGAAATAAATGAGCTTTTATTCCTGGTAACCTTGCAGAGGCAATACAACTACTGAGAATACAGCTGGGAAATAATCTATCTTCTGTATCAGCAACACTGTCAATCAGTGCAGGTTGGAGCAGAGGGGATGTATTTCTCAGTTTTTGTTAATTGCAAGACGTTTTGCAAATACATGTTGTTGAAATGAAAATCAATTTTAAAGCAGCGCAGGCATCAAATAAGTTCTTGTTGCAGAATAACAGCCAAAATATAAGAAGCCACTGAGGTTTTCATGTGCTGGGGGCAGTCTGAAATGTTGAAAATAATAATAATAATTTTAAAAGGCTCAAAAATTCTTATTTTATTATGGAAGTGAGAAGAATATGCTTTTGAAACTGAACAAAACCACATGTGAAATCTGCTGTATCACTCTTAAACATCTTTGATTACTGTTTGACATGTGGTACAACTCAGTTACCAGCAACCCCAGAGCATGCATCATCTGAAAAGCCCATGGTCTAAAGTTAGCCTGTTAATGCAGCAAAAACCTCTGAAAACAACTACCTAGACTGATGCCTGTAGTCTTGAATACAGCTGCAAGAGGACTCCAAAAAACGCATAGTGTAGCAAAGCACATAAATGTTTTTTTAAAATATTTGCTGAATCAGAAGCCCAGATTGTAATGCCAGGAAAAAGTTAAACTAAGAAACCCCTGCACTAACAATGCGGTGCCCTAGTTCAGGCCCCACACGCTCCTGAATGAGCAGCAAAAGCAACCTAACCAGCTGCAACTGCACAGGACTAAAAGGAAACACCTCCAGCTGAAGTAACATACATGAGTCACTGAAGTCTTCATAACTTATCTACTACGTAAGAGATTGAAATAACTCTCTTCTCCTTCCCGGCAACCGCTGCAAAGCAGATAGCACAGGGATGAAGGAATGTGCAACATCCACCCTGTAAGAAACAGATGGGCAACCATACTCCACAACAGCTGCAATCTCTTAATTTCAAGGGAAATACAAGTAGGAGCAAATTGCAGTCATCTCCACTTCAGTGTGCATGGCTTTTTGTTGGTTTTGTTTGTATGTTTGTTTTAAATTATCCAACCATAGAACACTTACACAGCAAGCTGCTGAAGAGCCTCCAGGCGCTGCTGAGCCCTCCCTCTCCATCTTTGGTCAATAAATGGAGGCACTGGATCTTTGCCCTCCAAGCACAGACTGTAGCCTGGGAAATGGATCAAGCTACTAAACATACTTCTGAACATTGGTGCCTTTACCTAATGTTTGTGTGGACACAAAGAAGAGAGGCAGTGATTTAGCGATTTCAAACAGCATTCAAGAGACCAGAATTTCAGCTTATTGTGATTTACAGGACCGCACATTTGGGATGGGGAAAGAAGGCATACGTATGCTAATGATGTCAGCTGGTTAGATGGTACTTCTCAAGATGTGGAGCATAGCAGACTAACAGCAGATGCACAGATATGTCTTCTGGCTGTTTTCCAGTGTCTAAACTTATACTTAAAATTGAAGGGTCTAACAGCTCGTTACATAAAGAAGTTAGTGTGCAGTAACTGTGAATGTGCAGTAATGTGAACTTCTAGCACATTACACCATGTAACTCCTTCCTATTTCGTATGCTATAGAAATGAAATAACATATTCCACTTAAAGTTACATTATTTTATACTGTAACAGTTTTAGCATGTGTTAAAAATATCTTGACTGGAGTTGGCACACAAAAATGATCACATTAAAAATCCACACCCTTCCTTCTAAGCACTAATTTCCCTGGGTAGATATGCCTTAAATCTCTAAATTTACGGTTGCCAATAAATCTTTGCAATTGTGACTCAAGCATAAGTGATGTAGCTCTATTGGCTTGAGCTGCTGCAAAGTCTGAAATCAGATTTGCATGGTGAATCGCCCCTTTCATTTCAGTGGGTGCTAATTCAGATGCATACAGGGTAGTGGTGACATTTCAAGTACACTAACTCACCAGACTGTAAGAGAATGTCAGACGATGAAGATCTAGGCACCCTACTATGAGTAGCTGCTTGCTGTGCGTGAGACTGCATTTTTGTTTCATTTCTCTCCAAAAGGAATTCAACTTTCGAGAGTCTGGAAAACCCTAATCACTGATATATTATCACAACCCCTGTCCACCCCATTCTGTGATGCTACAGGTTAAGAATTCAAAGTTGTATTGTTATGAATAGCACATTATGCACTTGTTGATTCATATGTTTAAAACATGTTTTATGCAAGTCATAGTCTGTCACCATACCCACCCGCAACATCACCCCTATGACATGACAATGTTAGTGACAGTACCCCTGCTTACTTTGTTTGGCCCGAACTGTTCACACAGCCATACTGTTGCAAGGATCTCTATGATAACAGGCAACGTTTTCAGCTCCACGTGTGTGTCTCTCTACAGAGAGGCAGACAAACACACATTTTGTTTTCACATAGATATAAGAAACAGTCTAAGATAATGGGGTAGGAGACATCCAGAAACATTCTTTAAAAAAATGTTTCTTGATTCCATTGTTGGAAAGCTGATCAGGGATTTGCTCCTTGCTGTACAGCAGTGAGAGTTTCACAGTGTCTGCCTGGCAGGCTCAGTCAAGTGCATAGCTTCAGGAGGACTCTTTGTTTAAAATCCAATTCATTGCGCAGTTGTACCAAGTCTGTTTTCCTTTGGCATTCTACCTATATGCAGCCTGTCTAGCTGTCAATCACTCCTGTCTAAAGGTGTGACTGCAGCTCCCACAGACATGCCCTAGCTGCTTTTAAGCTAGCTAGGGTGAATATTGGTAGCAGGGGAGCAAATGCAGTAGGGAGCTAAGCATGGGCTATCTAGCTAAGGGCTTAGCTAGGAAGCTAAATTGTGCTGAGCTCATATGAAGAATCAGGATGGGTTTGCAATCTCTACAAGCTGCTTAGCTGTGGCTACCTAGTTCATTTTAAACTGCCTAAGTATGCTACCTCGATCTGTAGTGTAAGTATATCCCACGGTAAATGAAGAAGCACCACGTGAAATAACACATTTTAACAGATCTGCTTGAACAACAGCCCAACAACTCTCCAGTTCTTTTATTAGATCTTAATAACATATACAAGCTATTGTTAACAGCATTTGGAGATACTCTATTAAAAATACCGACACACAGTTTCGGAAATTACTCAGGACATGAAACTGGTCATTTCTAGGCTGCTGCTAGAGTCACCCTAGGCCAACAATCACGGTTACTCCCCATATTAAGTCTTGTTTTAGATAAAAGTGTTTCCTTTGCTTTGTATTTGCTGTCTTAAGGGAGCAGCTTAGAACTGAGACAGAGTTTCTACCCATGTGTATGCATATACACAGAAATAAAAGGTGTACATGTAAGCTACCTTTGACCAACACCTACCACTTTATCACCGACAAGTTGAACATGGATATTTGACTTTGAGTGGTCCTTCTCACTTGACAGTGTGTACAGAGGGTCTGAAAGATAAGTGAACAAATGGTACTAGTTACATATTTGAAGAATCAGCATGAATCATCAGGCTCCACTTCCCTCTTTAAAAGTCTGTCCATAAGAGAGTACAAAACAAACTAGGAAATTAAAAAAACTGAAATACATGTCTCTGTATCAAAGAAATTCCACCATCACACAAATCAGCCCCAGAGCTGAAATAACTACTGTTCTGTGGAACACGCACACGACTGAAGAAAAATCTACCTTCTCTGGAAGCACTGCCAACTTAAATAGAAAACGCAGACATGAAAGAGAAGAAGCAAACATGATGCAACGGTAATCGGTGGAAATCTCCCACTGTCCAGGCGCACCCCTCTGGGCTAGAGAGAGAGCGCTGGCTTTCCTCCAGCTCGCAAACGCTTCGCGCTCCCAGGCCCCTCCTCGCTCCCGGTAACTTCCTCACCGCCGCCAACCCGAACGCTTCACCCCTACGCGGCTCTGCCCCGCTCCCGGGGCGCCGGCACCCGCCCTCCCGCCTCCGCACCCGCTTCCCCCGCCCAACCGGTTGCCGGGTGGCTCGGTGACAGCCCCTCGGCCGGCTCCGGCCGCGCACCTCGTCTGGCACGGCCGCAGAGGCCCCGGGAGAGGCCTAGCTCGGGCAGCCCGACCGCTTCATGACCCGCACGCCGCCCACCCCCCCCCCCCCAAGCACCGAGCACCCCGCCTCAGGCCGGGACGCGGACACCCCCCCCCCCCCCGCCTTCCCCACCGAGCGCGTCGGGCCTGGCCGCCCCGGTCCCCCCGCCCGCCCCCCCCGGGGCTGCAGGCAGGGCAGGGGGCGCGGGGAGGGGGCTGCCCGGCCCGGCCGGGCCCGGTACCGTCGGGGCAGCCGAAGGTGCGGCCGAGGAACCATTCGGCCGCCGCCGCCGCCGCCGGTTCCCATGGCGACGGCCGGTGGGCGGGGCCGGGGAATGCCCCGCCCCCTCCGGCGGGACGGTGCCGCGGGGCGAGGAGGCGGCGGGGGCCGCGCGGGTCGTTCCGGGCCCTTTTGCCGCTGCTTCCTCCGAGCCCCCGCGGGCCCGGCCTTCCGGGGAGCCCTAGGGCCTGTGAGGCCGTGAGGCCCGCCCGCCTCCATCTTTGTGTGTGCTGCCGCGGGCGAAGGGGGCGGCTCGTCCGTGGGTTGAGGCGGCCGGAATGATCGGGGGGGGGGGGCAGGGGCCTGGGTAGCTTTGCTTTTCAACAGCTCTTGCTCAAGTTGTGTTAGGTGATGCTCTCCAGTTCCCCTGGACCCTCGCTTAGCGCTTAAGAGAACCGGTTTAGCAATCGCAGCTGAGGTCTGGATTCGAGCCTGGTTATTCTTATTCCCGGCTTCGCTTGTTACTGCTTAGGACTTGTGCTGCCATGAGGTGGTGAAAACAGACTTGGTGTCTACCGCCCAGAGAGGCTGCAGGTATTTTTGCATTTGTAAAGCATCTGGGGAGACCTGCACAAAGCATTACAAACGAGCCTTAAAATAAGCTTTGCAAAACATTGACGTTTTTGCAAGGAGGAAGCCACCACCGCCAGTGAGGAGTAAAGTTGGAAGCTTCATGCTGCTACACGGGAAGGGCTAATGCTTTTGTCAACCTAAGGAGATTCAGAGGCAATGCTGCCAAGACTTTTGGAATAGGGCATAAAAAGCAGCGGAACTGCAAAGGGGCCCTCTGCCTATAATCTTGAGGCAGGTCCCTCGTGTTAGTTATTTTGTGTATAAAACTCCATGTACCAAATAATTATTCACAGTTTGCCATGTCTGACATAAAACTTTGGCCCGTCAGCGCTTCATCGCAGGAGAGCAACATTAGGACTGTGGTTCCAAATTCCTTGGCTCTGCAATTTTAAGACATTTAATTAAACTTTCATAAAGGCCTGTCACTTGTTTGAAGCAACAACTTCTTTCTTAGGGTAGTTCATCAAAATGAGCCAATTGAAGACTCAAATGTGGTTCTGAACTAAAATGCTGTCGCAGCTTTGTTGCTGACTGACATCGGTAGGATGCTACTTGCCACAATGGATTGATCCATGCCCTAAAGATACCCAGCAGGCTGTAAAGGCCCTCATTTTACTAAAGAGCTTTACAATGTGATACCTTATTGTAATTATCGACAAGGGCAGCAAAAGTCACTTTTTAATAGAGTTGCCCTGCATTTCTCATGATCAAGTTCAGTCTTCCTTCTTGGTATCTCATTTCATTAGAACTCCATAATTTCCATGCTGAAATTTTTCCATGCTGGACATCTGCCTTGAGGTAACGAGGTGTGTAAACTGTACTTTGGCCAAAAAATGATTCTTTGTCAACTCCACCCTCTCACATTTTTCCACTTCAAGGTTTTCAGAGATGACTGGATACAGGTGCCCTGGACTTTTGTTTTTCTGATGAGGAAAGGAATCGGATGGAAACCAGGTAGAGAAGGAACAACAGAACAATTGCATGAGTTCTTGAGAGAGTACAACAAAATGCCAGGGCATAGTCTAACAGATGAGTACTCTCTGGAGTTGTGGAAGATCAACGAGGTGCAGTTCCACTATTAACTGCATTAAACTGGGCTAAATGTAAGATGTTGCTACCTTCTTTATTAACCATGAGATGCCTGGCCCCACTGCCTCTGATCTGTTGGTGTTGGCAGCTGAAAGACTATGAGGGGAACCCTCTCAAGAGACTGATGTGGCTGAAAACTAACCTGTCAGAAAATAAGAGATTGTCCTGGGTTGAGTGAGTGGTGGAGTTTTTTGGTGGCAGGGGAGGGGGCTATCGGGGCGTCCCCCTGTGAGAAGCTTCTCGAAGCTCCCCCAGCTCCACGTCAGCTCCACTTCTGTTTGGGAAATTGAGCCAATCGGCTGCGCCTCTGTGATAATGTATTTAAGAAGGGACGTGGTGACGGGCAGTGGGACTGGTGAGGAGGAGTTGCTGCAGCTGCCTGAACACCAAGGTCAGTGGGGGAACGGAGGAAGAAAGGAGGGGGGAGGTGTGCCGGAGCAGAGACCCCCCTGTACCCTGTGGGGAGACGGCAGGGCGGCCCCCCCCTGCCAACCATGGAGATCTACGGTGGAGCAGACATTGATTTGTGGCCTGTTGCTCCTGCTTGGTATAATCAAGGTTCTGTGCCCAAAGAAGGCCGGGGTCTCATGGGAAAAGGCAGCCCCGCTGCTGTAATTCAGCACTGGGAGGATTGCAGCATGCAGGGGAGTCCCACGCCGGAGCAGCTCGGGAAGGGCTGCAGCCGTGGGAGGGAATCCAGTCGGAGGAAGTTAGTGACCCATGACGGAGCAGTGTGGGGAACGCTGCGGCCCGTGGGAGGAATTCATGTCGGAGAAAGTTTGTGGAGGACTGTCTCCTGTGAGAGGGGGACCACAATGGAGCAGGAGGAACAAGTTCCGGACACTCCCCTCACCGAAGATGAAGGAAGTGGCAGCGCTGACTGCACCCCCCATTCCCTGCCCCTGCGCCACTGGGGGAGGAGGTAGAGATATCGGGAGCAGAGCTGAGCCCGGGAAGAAGGGAGGGGTGGGGGGAAGGTGTTCTCAAGATGTGGCAATGCTTCTCACTGTCCTACTCTGTTATGTGTTGTTAGTGTCTGTAATAAATGTATGTTCTTTTTTTTCTTCCCCTAACGAGTCTGCCTTTTGCTCGTGATCATAAAAGGGGAATTTTTCCCCATCCCAGTCCTATCTCGAACCCCAAGCCTGGCTCTCTGTCCCTTCTCATTGCCGGAGGGGAAGGGAGAGAGAGCGGCTGCCTTGTGGTTGGCTGCCAACCAGGCCTAAACCACGACAGAGATGAAAGTTTTCAGGTCACGGCATAGCAGCCTGAAGAGTAGTACTCACCCACAGGCGGTGACAGGTATATGTGACTGAGCTAAAAAGCTCAAGGTTCAGGTTCATGGAGCATGCTTAGATTAGATTAGGGTGTGTGTGTGTGTGTAATACTGGCTTATTTTTAACTAACATTTCTGAGAAATCTCTGTGAATTACAGATGTGGACAGTGATCAGCCTTACAAGTGTTGAAAGATGTGCTGATTATTACTATCTTGAATGTTCTTTGCCTTCATATTCCTGTGGATCTGCAGCTGGAGTGAAACCTGGCCAGGGCCTCTGGCACACTGGTGTGTGCTGTAGAATGCACTGCAATGGCAAAGCAGTGAGGTTCGGTCTGAATTGTTTTGTTCTGGTTATTTTTTTTTTTGGTCTGAAATACTGATGAGCCATTTCCAGAGAAAAAGATCCCAAAACATGAAAGACTCTGAGAAAATGTTTGATCTTGCAACCTTGTCTCTGGCCAGCACTTTGGAAAAGGGACTTAAAGCTATTTGACAATTCTGTCTGTCCACACCAAGGACTCATCCTATCACTGGTGAAAGTGAGCTGAAGGCAACTAAACTGCAAGCAATCAAAAAAGACTCCTGTTTCTTAGCTATAGTTTTCAAAGAACTTGACTGATGGGCTTTCTCTTTAGAGCTGTGGGCTGTAGCATGATTTTGTTTGTTTGTTTTCAATAATAGCTTTTCCAGAACAAGACTGTGTAGCTGAGCTGGGGTGCCGTCTATCTGATGATTTTTCTATAGCCACTTGGCTCTGAGGGGACACCAGGTGCTCAGATGTATGAGTAAATTGTCCACACCTTTGTGAGTTACTGTGCAGTGACTGAGTGGACTAACCGTGCCAGTGCTTAGCATGTTGCAAAATTGTGGTAAAGTGCACTAGTTTGGCTGCCTGTGAAAGAGGCTGAGCCAAATGCATTTCACCTTGAGATAAGACAGTGTAATTTGCTGCAAGATGAATTACTGCTACTCTGTTGATGGACTTGTTATGCTGTGAGGACATGCTGATGGGTTTGAACTGTAAAAATCAGACAAAGAGCAGTGGAAAATGTAGACGAGGAAGGTAGGATTGGGCACTAGTTGAGAGCAGAACAGTAGCTGGACAAGAGCAGATGTGAAAATGTGGTTTCAGAGGAAAAACTCTGCTGGCTGAACAAAGCAAAATTAGTAGGAGAGTGGGGTGGTAGAGAACCAGTGTGCAGGGGGAGGAGGGAGAGACAGGGTGAGCACCCAGTAGAGCAGAACTGAAGTACCTGGACAAGAAAATGGGAGACCTCTATGATGAGCTGAAGAAGTGGGGAAGGGTGTGGAAAGGCAGGACTGGGGGGAAGAAGGCAAAGAAGTTGAGCTAAACAGATGATGAGTCTCTCTACCACGCCTTCCTTCTGTCCTCCAGAGCCTGGGAAGGAACTGGGTTTCCTGAATGGGAATTTTCCCCTGCAATCCACGAGGATTTGTGAAACCCCTGGCAAGATGTCATCCATCTGGCTTTAAGCTTGATTATGTAGATGGTCCTCTTCTGCTCTCTGTTAGCAGCTGTCAAATGACAGCACCGTTGCGGTGCTGGGTGTGTGTGATGCTTTGTGGCAGCTTTCTTCTAGTTATTAAAGAAATCTAAGTTACAGGCAACAAAGATAGAGCATTAAAAGCACTACTGAGGCTTTGATGGCAGGAAATGCCAAAATTAATTATTTAAAATTAGTAACTGTTAGCATGCCATTTATCATTCTTGCCACAGGATGTCACAATTTCCCCATGTATGGCCCATCACCAGCTCTAACTTTGGTGGTGGTCAGGTCAGCACTTCTATTAAATGTGAAATAGTATAAAATTAATTTGGCCCTTATACCCATCCAAAGTAAGCATTAATTTCCATTCCCTGTCCGATCTCCACCTGGTTTACTAACTGTATGTGATAAACACCTCTTTCCAGATGTGTGGTTCAGGAAAGCAGGAGCAGGAAAGCAGCAGCACAGGGCTGCAGTCAATGTGGTTGCTAGCTTTTTAATCCAGAGGAAGGGACCCTTCCTCCCAGCCCATCAGAACAGATGGTGAAGAAGAGTGAGGAAAACAGAAGGAGGGGGAAGATGTGGTCACTATTCCCAGCAGGAAGCAGAGGTAAGTCTCAAAGGTGTGAGAAGACAGATGCTGTAAAATCTAATGTTTTGTGGCTAGAGGCCTTGTCTCTGTGCTGGCTTTTGGCGATAGTAAGGCATTATATTCATTGTGGAATATCTCACTTGTAACCTGTGACATCTTTTGTAAAAGTGGCCTTGGAGTACTGATTGTGGTAAATGGAGCTTCAACAAAGTGAAGTCTTTGGTTTCTTTGTGCTGTTTTCACTAAGAGCTCTGCTAATAGAGGCATTTTGAGATACAACTACTGAACTGGAAAAAACAGATGAAAGTCTATGGACACTGTTCTCTCCTGTCTTTATTAGTATGACTGTTGGCACATTTCCTTTACTAAAAGCAATCTACAGATGAGGATAGCCTAAAAAGTCAAAGTTCAAAGAAAATTAAGTAGTAACACTTTGATCCCAGTTAAAGGATTCACTTGAAAGCCTGCTGAGAGACTTCTGTAATGGTTTTGATTAGGACTTAAAAAAATAATAAAAAAAAAAAGGAAGGTGGAATTAGAGACATTTTCAGCCCATGGTTCAGAGAAGTCTGATTTGTGACAAAAAACAAAATTTACCAATACTTCAGGCATCCTCTGAAGGACATTCACATACTTTAATTTGCTTGGATTGCATGAGCTTTGGATGAGATTCTTAATGAGCAGGGATGACGTTTGGATGATTTGCTAGGCTGAAGTCAGGAATGTTGTCTCACCTCAGCCAGAAGAGGCTAGTGGATTAAATTCCTTTGGGAACTAGTGAATTCCTAATGTTCTCACTCCTTCTGGGCAATATTCAGAGGAATAAATGGCAGTGCCAACATGTTAGCTTGCAGCTTTCAAGTGCCAGTGTGTTAAGACTTTTCTTTTCAATGTTAAACCTTAGATTCCCTCTGTTTCTTGCTGCAACAATCAGTGGTTGAATCAGCAGAGGAGATGCTATACCCTAGTCAGAGCACAAGAGGTGAGAGAACAACCAGAGGAACAATTTGATGGAAGGGGAATATTACATTGACTTAACAGACAAGATTTTATCCCGTATTTCTGGCTTAGAAGTTGACATGAGCTTGTATCTTCAAAGAAATCCAGCTACTTGCTTCTGGAGACCTGGATGAGAAATGTTCTTATAGCTGGGTTGTGATTGGATTCCGTGTCTGTTTTTCATGAGAGTTTGGCTCCAGTCTTGTTGTCTGTTTGTCTGTTTAAAACATAAATAAACAACTGTGTTTACTGGTAGCTGCCTGTTGAGCTGAGAGGGAAGAGAGAAAACCCACTGACTGGGAAAGGGGAGTCCAAGTGCAGGGAGAGAGGGAAGGCAAGATGCAGCTGTAACTAGAAGGAGCTCAAGGGGAGGTGGGAGATGCTTCAGGGAGTGGAAAGGTTCCATCCACCACTGACTTCTTGCTCTGGTGATACCCATTTGTCAGCTCTTTGCTGAGAGAGGACAGTTCTTTCTTTAAAAGGGCAAACCTAAAACCCAGCCTGTTAATAGTCTGGATGGGAAGATATGAATTCCTCTATTTTACTCGGCCAAGCCTGAGGAGAGGCCCTGCTGAAGTCCTGATCTCCCTAAAACTTGACTGGTGGTGCCTGTCCAGGCTGCGGGGATGCAGGGAGGGTGCTGTCAGCAGCAACGACCATCCCGGCCTGGCCAATCCATCACACTTCCCAACTCTGCTCTCTCCCAGACCAGGCTGGGAGCCGGCGTGACTAAGAAGGGTGGTGGCTCCCTAAAAATGTCAAGGGCTGTAGAGAGAACGTTGTCTCCTAGAGCCAAGGAGACCTCTTTACCCGGAAGCTCAGGAGTTCAGTAGCTAGATTTTTACTGGCTGCTTGATGGATGATGGATGGTTTGTACTAAAGCCTGCAGCAGCACAGGGTAGCTTAACAGTTCAGTAGACAGGGAGACATGTAGTATGTATTTATCTGATGTGTCAAAAACAATGGAATGGAGTACCCTGCTGACCTCTGCAGTATTTCTGCTCTCCTCATTCTTTTTCCTATTGTTTGTCAAGGTGCCTGGTCAAGTCTGGCTTCCAGCTAGTTGGAAAACTTTTCCCAGGACGTTGAATGTCTGTGCTTGCCTGATCTGAAGGGAGCACCAGGGACTACTGATTTTCTGTGACCCTTTTAGCCACTCTCTTCATGGAAATGAAATAGCTGGACACAAGTGATATGGAGACTGGTTTTAGCTTGTTATTGTAATACAGTATAACTCTGTCACACACACTACACTCTTACTTCCTCTTAAACAATTAAGGCAACATGATCTTAATCCGGTCTATTAAACCTTTCCAAAAAAATACTTCTCATCCTTTAATTGCAATTCTCTGGATGCAGGTCAGCTGAGGGCTAGCACACGTCCAAGGGCCTGGAGAAGGCCTACCAGAAATAAAAGGGAGAGACAGCAGCGACAGGACACTCAGGCCATGGGGAGAAAAAAAGCTAGAATTGGATGGGGGCTGAACAGAGCCCTTTCTGAACAGAGACTGGGGAAGGATGCATAAATATCACTTCTCCCATATAAGAAACCAAAGCCTGTGCTCTCTTTAGTCTTGAAAGTTCCCCTATCTTTCCCCTCTGTCTTTGCCTGCACCCACACAGCCCCTCCCCACATCACTTCCCAGTCTCAGATGGTGGAGACTGAACAGAACACAATACAGGATCTAGAGCACATCACTGGTGTCTTGACATATCAACTGTGAGAGCACGATAGGAACTCAGTATCTAGCATGTTGATCTGGAAACATCCCCTCTTTGATCCTGAGGAAGTCTTTGAATGGACCCCTAGAAGAATCAGACGTGGAGAAATCCATTGTGGGTTTTAAATAAGGGCCTGGAGTAGTTGAAGTTAATGATGTGTCCGTCCAGACAGGATGCATAGAGTAAAATTTAGTGTTTGTTACACACAGTAAGTACCAACCCAAGACACTCAGTACTTGGAGAAAACACTGCACAGCATACTGTACAGCATATTGAAAACCAGGGCAAAATAGTCAGGATATGGGATTGAGCTGAAGGTTTAGATGAAATTTTCTGCCATGTAGATGACTTGTGTTCCCATGTCACTTTTTCAAAAATAATTGTATTCCAGCTACGTAATGTATTTAGGAAGATGTCAATGTAAGTAGGATCTCTTGAGAATCCCTCTGCCAGCCTATGGAGATGCCCCTAATGCTTCTTAAAATCTGACCCTTAAGCACATGATAATCAAGTCCAACTGATTTTTGGTGGGAATAAGGATTCTAACGATCTCCTTGAGAAAGTGCCAGTAATGCTCATTAGACTTACTTCAAAATTCTTCTTCTGGATCAATGAGAAGAAAAGCAGAAGAAAACAAGTACAAATGAATTAGGTGTTCAAAGTTGAAACCTAGCTTGCCCACTGATGTGAAAGAAATGGCTTAAGAGCAACTGAATTTTCTACATTATTTTGTAACTTAGCAAGTAACAGCCAGGGGGATTCTAAATGGATTCAGAAGATAGATAATGTTGCAGGCTCTTTACAAGCAGCTTGCAGCTCTGTACAGCCTATGTCTTGATGTAATATTTAAAAGGAGTGAAATGCTGGGATGTGAGTACGTAGAAGTATGCAGCTGCAATCAGTGACATCTCAAAAATGGAATGACTCATGTATTTGTAAATACTAGTGGTTCCTTCCAGGCTTCCAGTTAGCTCCCGCAGTTTGTTGTGAATGCTAAACTATTTTCTGTAGCGCAAGCTTCACATTTCGTAAAACATTACCAAGAGAGACTTGAATAGATTCAACCAAGCTAGATTTGCTACCGACACAGACATCAAAATGGCACGCCACCAAGCAGAATAAAACTGTTAGTAGCAGCAACACTTAGGGGGGGGAAAAAAGGACAACTGGAATGTGTGCAGTAAAAAAGAAGTGGACATACTGTATTGCTGCTTCTCAGTTATTTGACAGCTTAACACCATTCATCAGAGTTGCAGAAACACTGCTTCGTTTGCAGCAGAACTAATCAAGGTTAGAACTCTGTGCTATGAAGTATTTTATGGAACTACAGTGAGGCATTTTTCTTCAATACACAGGCGAGTGGATCTGGGTTCTGAATGAGATTTCCTGTAACGCATAAGCACAGATCTTAGGTGACATTTAATTTTTGTGGGGTAACTAATTGGAGATCATCCATGCATGCATGTGGTGCTACATATTAACAGTGGCTCAGCTCTCTGATAGCTTGAGGTCACATTCTGATCAGTTCCAACAATTCACATAGAGGTTATGCAGAAGTTTGAAAGTCTTACTCTTTCAAGTCATGAGAAGTGAGACTGAAAGAGGTTTCCTGTTTGGAAAGAACTATATAGACAGCTGTTACGGTTAACTCTGCAGTGGAGACAAAAAAAAATATCTGAGGATAGCAAAACTACTCCCTGGGTGACTAGTGTGTGTCATCATCTTCAAGCCTAAACACTTATAATCCTGGACTATTTTTTTCTGATTTTTAACTGAAAATAGCAAGTCTGACTGCAGGGGAGGGACAGACCTTTGCAGATGAATGTCTTTTGGAGTATTAGTGATGCTATTTTGCAAATACAGGTTAGGATTTTCTGAGTTACGAAGCGTAGAGACTGTCAGACGATAGACCCTTGCCTTCTTCAGCCATGCTCTTTTGTTGTGTCAGTAGCACACGCAGCCATTCGAGTGCAAACACCTGGCCTTTCCTTCCCACCAGTTTGCGCAATGGGATCTATTCCAGACCACTTGGGTTTTCATGGGTGTTCCCTCCACAAAGGGGAGCTGAAAATTAGTCATCCCAGCAAGCACTAAAGTAAGTGTGACCAGGTTTGAAATGCACATCCAACATCAGCTGCTGTACATCTGCGATGTGGAAAGCTGCCACGTGTCCAGAGGCTCAGTTGTTCTTGCCTCCAGTCCATAGGGAACAGGCAGGTTGCTTTGTGGCATGGTACCAAATGCCAGCTTCCTTCTTTTGCCATGTTACCAGGGAGACTGCATACTGAATTTGCTGGCCTGGCTTTTGCAGTGTTGCATGGCAAATTCATAACCTTTACTAATATGTTTGGATATACTGTCAGCGGGCAGTGAAAAGAAGAGGCGTAGTATGAAGTGATGATATTCGTAATTTTAGCACAAACTGGGGAGGAATGTGTGGGAGAAAAAAAAAAGAGTGGGAAAGACATGAAAATTCTTTAAGTTTATAAACTTAAAACAAGCACTGATGTCTTGTCTTCCCTCACCCCAGCACGAACATCCAGATTTCACTGGAAAAGTCATTCATCGCTAGAAACAGTGTTCTGCTTGCACTATAAAACATTGGTTTCTTAGCAAAAGCAAGCAGTGGTGGCAATTCTTGAAATTAGTTTTGCTACAGATTTAGACCGGGACAAGAGTTTCTGCTCTGCCTGCTGTAGGACAGGCGCTATCTTCTTTACTGTGGAGGGCTAGGCCACCGAGTCCTGGCCCCAGCATGAGACTCCAGAATTTCTGGGATGTTGTGGGCCGAGTTCTGCGATGTCAGAGACAGCAGTTCTGTTTCGAATGTGGAAAGTGGCTGCAACCTGGCAAACGACCTTCTACCTCCAGCCTCTGGCGCTCTGAAGATCTGGCTTTATTCCTGGCAAGAGATGATCTGTTGCAGTACTAGCTTGTAGGGCATTCAAAGAGACAAAAATGCTTTAAAAGTAATCTTGATTCTACTCTTGTTTCTTTAAGGGCTTGCTTGCCAGTATGGAGGGAGACTCTCTCCATACAGACTTCCACTGTGATCTCCCAGGAGGGGATGGTTCAGTCCTGTGGTACAGCATCCCTGCATACAGAATTCATGCCGTAGTCCTGAAACATGGGGATTTGCCTCTTCAGCTTGGGAGAAGACCAGCACATCACTTCTTGAGGTGATTTTAGCCCAGTGAACCACTTGCCTTCTCCTAAAGATGGAGTTTGAAGCTTAGAGGGGATGTAGTTAATCACCTTAAAGTCTCTTCCATTGTACTAGACCAGAGCAAAGGTCCTTCTGTCCTAGCATTCAGTCTCTCTTGGGTCACACTGCTGAGCTGATAGTATTTGGTAGTTGCAGGTCTGCAACTCTGATCAAAGCAAGAAAGTCTGTCCTGTACTTGGGCAGTTAATATAATAGGTAACAGGGCCCTGGCAAGTCATCTTACTCAGAAGTTTGAAGTCCTTTTTTTTTTTTTTTCCTCCATGTGTAGCTAACCATTGACCAAAACCACAGACAACTTATTTGACAA